AAATCCCCCCCTGCCACGAGGAGCGAGACTACCGGCTTGGGCGTCTGACAGCGTGAAGTTGAAGGGTCAGGCTTCGGACATCACATCTGCCTTGGAAGCTTGCCACGCAGCAGGCCCTTTCTCGGAGGAACTGCTTACTCAAGGCCTTTCGCCCAAATCCATTGCGAGCAGCGGGCAGGGCATCGCCCAAGTTCTTGTTACCCATGTCACTTTTTTTGCTGCTTTGACTTTGGCGCGGAGCCCCCACCTTGGCGGCAAGTCTGAGCAGAGCCGCGTTGCTGCGCGGCAGCTGCAAAGCCTGTTGATGACGCTTCTCCGCCCCAGCACGATCAGCTGCCAGATGACGTGCTGCGCAGCTTCTTAGAGGAAGCTGCAGCTGCTGTGCCGGCCTGAGGTGGAAAGGCATTGCGTTGCACTTGCAATATGGAGGTTCAAAGTATGTGCGTTAATTGCCATCAATGACGATGATGGTGGTTGATTGTTTGCAGCGACGGCAGTGCTTGACTTTGTGGCTAAGGTGAAAGCTTCTCTTGGGTCATGCGACTTGGACGTGGCTAAAGACTGGGCTGCAGCCTGCGTGACCCGGAAGGATTGCGGCAGGCTGTGCCGACTGAAACTTCCCGCAGTCATATCGACGCCCCAGATGGCTCCGAAAGACGCGCCGTCACTTGGGTCGTCACTTGGGTTGGCTTCAGGAAAGACTGAAGCTGAAACCCTTTCCCCGGCCCCAGCTGTCCCAGCTGTGGCCTCCACTGCGGGCGACGTATCGCCCGCCACCCCGGCCGGACCAAAGCCTACGCAGAGCACACAGGCTGCAAGCCCCCAGGTAGAGGCAGAGGAGCAGCAGGCAAAGGAGTGCTCGCTGGAAGATCTGCTAAACATGAGTGAAGCAGACTTTCTTGAGGAGCTTTCTCTTTCCCTCCAGGAGACAACTGATCCAGTCGATGTCTCTTCTGGAGAAGAAAACGGCAGCAAAGACGAGGGAGCAGATCGAAAGCGCAAAGCTTCGATCCTAGAAGGCTTGAGTCTAGCCCCTCTTGCCTTGACTGATGAAGTTGCACCCTCCACTCGGCAGGACCTGGCAGGCTCAGAGCCCAATGCCAATGCCAATGCCGCAAATGCCCCCAGCCAGCAAGAAACTTCTGAGAAGGCCGTAGGCCGTGCTCCAAAGCAGCTAGCAGTTGGCCCTGGCAAGGAAAAAGTGCAGCAAGAAAAGGAAGCCTTGTCCAAGCAGAAAGTTGAGGAAGCTAAGTCGCAAGCCAGCGGGGCTGTCCTGGCCCCAGCCAAGACTGTAAGCGCTGAAGCCAGCAAGGACAAAGCAGCCAGCGAAAGCGATAGTAAGCTGACGCAGAGCCCGCTTCCACTGAGCATGGCAGACGCTGCTGGCAAAAGCTGCAAAGAAGGCCACAAGAACAAAAAGGACAAGAAGGACAAGAAGGACAAGAAGGACAAGACGGACAAGAAAGACAACAGTGACAAGAAGAAGAAGGACAAGAAGGGCAAAAAGGACAAAAAGAAAGACAAGAAGGACAAGAAAGACAAGGAGAAGAGGAGCAGCGATGAGAAAGCACAGCGAGCGCCCAAAAAGAAAGCGGAGAATAAGGCTGCAAAGGCCCCAAAGGCAACTGCTAAAGCGAAAGCAGCTGCCAAAGCGAAGACGGAGCCAAAGGCAGGCTGCAAGAGAGCGTAGCGGGCCAGATGGAGGACGACGACAAGCCCTTGGGCAGGTTGTTTTGCCCCAGCAAAGCTGTGAAGGCAGCCGCCGTGGCCGCAAAGAAGCGCGCTGCCAAGGCCAACGCAAGATCCTCCGTTGCCGTGGGCTTAGGGCAGCAAGCCGTCAAAAGTGGAAGCGGCTTGGCAGCTGCGCTGAGCAGCCGGGGCCCTTCAACTCGGCTGAAGACATGAACTAGAACTAGGCAAGCAGCGCTGTGCTTAACATCATACGATGCGAGTCTGGCGAGGCAGTCAAATGCATTGCTTGATAGTTGCTGCAAGACTTGTTTTATGAGCGGCTTGTTCAGATGCAGTAACAGCGAGTGTCTTAGATTCCATTTGCCTCGGCCAGGCTCGGTGACGTAGTTGCAAAACAATGGTCTCCTAACATGTGCGCACCATGCCCCCAAGCGCGTTAATATCTGACATATGCACGAAAAGCACTCCGCAAATCCACAGCAACTGGCAGGGTTTTTGTTGGGCGCCCCCGCGGCGATGGCATCTTCCTAGCGGAGGCTGACGCCCAGGCCGACAATCGACCCGGAAGAGGTTGAGCAAGAGACGCTGCACTACCTGTCCAAACGATGCCTTTCTGCTGGAGACCTTTTGAGTGGAAAGTGGTTCTTCAAGGTGGCAGAGGAGAACGCGGAGACGTGCCGCAGGCTGGCGAAGAATAGGCCTCTAGGGCCGGAGTGCCAGCTGCAGCGGGCAAGTTGTTGCTCGGGGAGCGAGGGGGCACGCTTCGTAGTTGACGCTATGAACGACGTTTTCTTGCGCAACGGCTCCTCATGCCGCTTAACTCATGCGTTCAGCTGGAGCTTGCTGCTGAGAAAAGAAAGTGGATAAGTTTTGTTATGCGGGAAGATGGTCCTAGACCGAGTGCAAGGCGCGGCGCTGCCTGACAGCGCAGCGAGCCAAGCTGTTGAGCAGGCTGACCTTCCGTGCGTCTTCAGTGACATATTGGACATGGGCGATGAGCAGGCTCAGTGCTCGCAGCACTCTGGACTCTGCCGTGTCCCCTCCGTTGACTTGCTCATCTTGGGGACGTCGTGCAAGGATATGTCAAGGGCAAACCCTGGTTCAGTTCGGCGTGAAGCAGTTCTTCTCCAGCAGTTAAGTAAAGGAGGCAGTGCGCAAACCTTCCGAGGATTCTTGAAATACCTGGACGTTCATAAGCCTCCGCTGGTGCTGTTCGAGAATGTTGACTCCATGGAAGACTCCAAGGCGGGGGGGCAAAGCAACGCGGACATTTTCCAGGCTGAGGTCTCTGCTCGCGGCTATGAGTCCCAGAGTGTTGTTCTTGATGCGTGCCAGTTTGGCTTGCCGGCAAGAAGACGACGAGTGTACGTGCTTTTGATCCGTGTTGGGGGCAATCCTCTGATGACATTTGCTGGAAGGCCGTTGCATGCCGTGTTCACAACCTTCCGCAGCCTGCTGAGCGGGTGCTTGAGGAAAGCTCCCTGCGCAAGTCAGGTGCTTTTGCCCTCAGACGATTTGGCAGTGAGAGAGGAGTTGAGTGCCCGTCAACAAAAAGCAGAAGAATCTGCGAAGAAGCAAGGGCAGCGAGAGGCAGGCCAGTCTGTGGGTGCGAGGTGGGCTGAGCAATACATGCAGTACGCTGAGAACCTGAAGCTTCGCTGGGGCAAGGCCCCGCGCCCTGAACTTGCTCGCAATCCTTGGTTCCAGTGCTTGACTGAGAGGGAGAAGGACGCGCTGCCGTTATGCCAAGCGGCGCTTCCAAATTCCATGTTCCGGGACACGTCGCAAAGCATTGGCAGGATTAATGCTTCCACGTGGTCGGCTGATGCTGGGGCCCACGTGGCGCCAACCATCCTCCCAAAGCAATGCTTGTGGATTGAGTTGGGCGAAAACTCCCGCCCCATGCTGGGGCGAGAAGCCCTCACAACGCAAGGCTTTCCAGCTTTGCCGTTTCTTGAGGTTGTTGAGAAGTCGCAGCACGCGCTGCTGCGATCGGCAGCTTGGGCCCCCAGCGAAAGTCTTATGCAGGACCTTGCAGGAAACGCAATGTCCTTGCCAGTGGTCTTAGCTATGCTGCAATGTGGCTTTGCGGCAGCTACATGGAGCAGCTGCCGTGCGCCAAAGGCAGCTGGTGAGACACCGCTTTCCAAGGATGAGGCCCGCTTTTAGGGGACCACCTTTTTTGCCACTGCGCGCGCTTTGTTCGGGGGCTGTAATTGCATTGCAAGAGCCTAGCTAATCAGATGGGAAGAACACCGGTCAAGCAGCTTGCGCCCCCTTGCAGGACATCCAGGCAGCGATGGCAGGCTTGCGCGCTTTGTCGGAGAAGGAGCCCGCTGAGGCCGCGCCTTCCGCGAGTGCGCCCACTGCTTTGCGCGAGCGCTTGCAAAAGCGAGCCCGGGCAAAGTACAGCCAGCTATAAAGGGGAAGGCCGTGGGCCGTGTGCGTGCGGTAGAAGGCCGTGGGGCCGTGCGCGCCAGCGTGCGGACAAGGCCGCTCCCCTTGTTCACTTGTAGGTAGCTCTAGGCACGGCGTTGCCAGCTGGAGATAGGATGCGTGGTTGCGTGAAAAAAGTGCTTGCAGACTGCCCTGCTGTTTCGTCACCCTGCGCGGCTTCCCTTCCCTGAGGAACTGTGCAGTTGGGCAGCTTGTGATATAACTATTGGGGCCGAGCGAAGTTGTATTATTGATATATCGACATTGTAATATTGCGAGGGTGGAAGAGCCAGAGGCAAGCCATGTCGAATCTTAGGGGGATGGTGGGAGAAATTTTTCGAGATATATGGGGTGTTCCAAGATGATTAGGATGTTTTGATATTTGTATGAAACATGTTGAGGTTTTTGGGAAATTTTTCTTGATGTATGAGAAATTTTTAAGGATTTTTGGAAAACATGTTAAAGATTTGTGGGAAATTTTTTGAGATTTTTGACCTTCTGTTTTTGTTACATAAGCTACCTGAGCACTTTAGGTAGTGCACAGGCCTCTTAAATACAGCCAAATTTTGGCACTCATAGAACACGGCCACCAGACAGCATGCTGGGATTTGTTTCCATGGGCGTTGGCATCGAAGGTCGATGCCCCACTATTGGCCATTTCAGTAGGTGGTTCTAGTGGCTTATAGCAAGGCCCATAGGTGTCCTTTCAGGTTAGTTGGTTTAAGAATAGAAGGCACTGGTTGAGATGGGTGTGATTCCATTTGCCAGGGCCATCTATTTTTCCAAAAGGACACCTATGGCAAGCCCGGCATAAAACTGTAAGCCAGCTATGCAGCCATGGCCCCGGACGGGTGGCGCGCTCAGCTCATCAGGACAGCTACAAGCGGGAGGGAGGGAACCTGCCAGAGCTGCCTCTCGGACTTGAAGAGGAATATGACTGGCTTCGTTATTCTACAGGGCTCCTTAAAAGAAATTCATGTTGCCACCATTTGAAACATGTTGCTTTTTCAACACCAAAATATAGGGAAACAGCACCATTTACAAGGCAATGTTCAGGTGTATAATGTACAGATCCCTGTTTTACCATGATCAAAGTCAGCCCCTGAGTGGTGGGTTAAAGGGAAAGAACCGAATCCATTTTGTGACCCGAGGTCACCCCCCAAGTGGTGGGTGAAAGGGAAATAGCCCCATTTTCTGACTTTGATAACCCCTCAGAAACTGTCAACAAATGACCCCAGTATGAGGTTTGGTCCAAAGGATTCGTCGATTCATTGAGGGACGCGGGCTGGGGCGTGCCGCGTGTTTTTCCAGAACAGAAAAAAACCAGCTCGGGGACTCGCGCTGCATTTTACTTGTGGGAGCAAGTCATGGCTGTGGCTCACAGTCACGCAGGCCACAAAAGGAATCTTGAGGGCGTAGGAGTGGGGGCATGATAGGCTCATGGCGGTTGCAACTTATGAGATGTGTGTGTCTTGTAACACCACTACTTCTGGGGTCCCTGCAAGAAAAGACACACCCAGATGAGCCTGTGGCATAAATGGGTCCTTGTTCATACTGTACATGGTTTTGGGATTACAGCCATTTTAACACAGATCGGTTTTGAGTATGATGGACATGAATCCCCACCGTGAAGTGGGAGTTGTTGTTTCCGGTACCAATCTCCCCACTTCTTTTTTTTGGCTTTACATGGCTTTGATCATCCCCTCCCCCCCCATGGTTTTGTTGTTTTGCATGGTTTTGATCATCCCCATGGTTTTGTCTTGCATGTTTCGGATCATGACTCAAATGAGCCACGAGCAAAACCCGGGTAGATGAAGGTTAGTAAGGAGTCCCAGCCAGAAATAGTTGTGGATATCCGCCTTCTTAATTCTTGAAGCATGGTTCTGGGATTACGACCATTTCAATACCGGGTTTTGAGCAAGTGACTCAAATGCTTTCTGATTTCAGACGCCAGGTGCGAGCTTGGCGGTTCCTTCGGTCCTGGCAGCACCGACGACAACGGGAACCGCCCCTCGCTTCGGGATTCGGGCGAAGCGGGCGAAGGGAAACTCCTGGTGCCCCCAATTTCCGGAGGGGCTCGCAAGAACCCAAGGGTCTCCAAAAGGCGCCCCAAAATGGACCAATTTGTTTTGGTTTCCCTTTGTACCATCCGCAAAAAGGGTGGCCTCAAAAAACGCCTCCCTTCTAGGAATTGTGTTAAGAATCTTTCGGCTGGGGGACCTTAGCTTCGTCCCCGTGCCCACATGGGATCTGGGGGTGCTCAGGGCGAGCTGAGCGCTTTGGTCAAAGAACGGGGTGCGTAAGGCTAAGCAGCTACAGGCAGCCGCTAAAGTTGTTTTTTTTGATCCTATGGGGAGAGCTGTTTGGGGGTTTGTCATTTTCTTGCGACTACATGGGGATTTGGGTAAGTTGTTTGATGCGTCGGTTGGGATGAACTGCCAACCAAGTCAGAAAGGTAAAAGCGATGATAAGAGAGATAGCATTCAAGAATTAGACCGTAAGTGCATAGGAAAGAGAGAAAAAGATGAGCGAGAAAAAAACAGATGACAGGGAAGGACATAACAGTTGGTTTGCATGTCATTCCTTCCATCACAAGCCCAAACTATTAATCCTGGAAATTGGCGAGTCTTAGAGCCACCATATGAATCCAAATATGAGATGAGATTCTTCTTTCCAATTCTTAATTCTACCTGGATCTTGAAGTGTAGAAAGGAAACATTAATTCACTTTTTGTTCTCTGTCCTTTCTTTTGTAGTCGTATTTGGCTCATTATTTTGACTTGCTGCGACTCCGTTGGGCTTTGATCCACTCATTGCACTCATTCACTTATTTCAGGTTGGGTCGCGGCCATGTTGAGAGTCTCAATCTCGCCTTGGCTGCCCCCTGCTAACTTAGCTGTCCGCCAAAGCTCCAGCTCAAAAATCGCAACTTTGCAGCGTCTGCAGCTGCAGCTCGGAAATCGCTACTTGGTAGTACAAGTGTCCAGCACGCGCAGCATGCGAAGTACAGTTCCGCAACTCCAGCTCACAACCGCAACTGCCCAACAAAAAACGAGGTTCTAAATGATGCGATTCCATTGAGCACGGTATGGTGAAGATGCTTCCTTTTTGCACTTCTTTTTGCAAGAACCCTCCATGTGGTTTCTCCCGGTCAGGCGGCACGTTGCCTTTTTTAGCAACGGGGAGCTAGTGCCACCTCTTCGTTCAGCATGGGATGAGCTTCCAAGTGCTTCAAAAAAAGGAAAACAACCCTCATGATTGGCTTGGATGCTGATTGGATGATCTTGATTGGATGTCGTCTCTTCATGATTGGCTCCCATGATCTTGCAACTTCCATGGGAACCACTGAAGAGACGACGTTGGGATGACTGGATCTTGCGATGCGGGACAGCGTGATTGGGACCGAAGAGGTGACTCGCGCAGGTCACTATGGTCAACCCGGGCAAGATTGTTTGGGGCCACCCACAGTTTTGACGGAGCAGCCCATTCAGGTCACTCATTCTATTTATCTCAGTTCTTGCATGGGCGTCCGAACAAATGTTCCAATTCCCAGAGGGAAGCCCCATGTTGACAGATACGGGAAACCCGGCCTCACGGGGAGAGAGCGGTTTACCGGTCGAGCTACGAGCGCCCCCTATGCAGAAATTCCTTCTGTCAAGTGAATGGCTTAGGTTTCGTTGCTAACCTTAGCAGAAAATGGGTGCCCTCAAAAATAGCCACAAACACAAGCACTAAGCACAAGCACACACACACACACATGTCCAAAAAAGGAGAGCCTTAAACCGGGGGCTTTAAAAGGAATTCCCAAAACCAATCTTAAGGGTCCCCTTGACACATCGCCCATGTGGCCGTCGCATTTTGTGTTTTTGTTTAGGCGACTTCACCTTGGCCATCGTCTCGGATACTCAGCTGCCCTGGTGCAGCGGCGACACCAAGGCGCGGCTTTCGGCTTTCTGGGGGGTTAAAGATGACATGAGGAAAGCACGAAAAAACCGTTTGGATGAAGCTTAGCTCTCATAGAGTACTAAAAAGAGACATATTTCGGCCCAGTCATCTCCTTTTGCTATTCAAAAAGGGGGACTTTCACCCGTCCGATTTCAGTTTTCTCTGAGCACGGCTGACGCCATCTATTTTCCGGACATTTACGTAGGTGAGCAAGGGGGGGGGGGGGCGGCAGGGAAGGCAGGGGCGGTGCTGGGGGGACACTTGCAAGGGCGGGGGGGGGGGTCTACACTCCAGGAGGGTCACCGTTTCGAAGAGACTAGGACATGTTCAGTGGTCAAGAATGATCTTCACCTGAACGTTTGAAGGGATCGAGGAGGTGAACTGTGAGCACAGCAGTAAGAACCCCAAGCCCATAAGCGTCCTTTTTAGGTTAGTTTGATTAAACATAGATGGCACTGGTTTAGGTGGGGTTTTTTCCATTTACCAGGGCCATCTATTTTTCCAAGAGCCCGCCTATGCCCAAGCCTCGCTTTGTAGAGGTCTGACACCTGACTAGGCATGGTTTCTCATGGCGAGATCCACATTTCCATGTTTGCATCGGCTCATCCGACTGAATCAGTTCCTGGCATTTGGGTTGCAGGTGTCCAGTTCCATTCATTCTTGAAGGAGCACCAGAAGAAGGTCAACTGATCAAGGGGCTCCAACATACAACAAAAAGAGCTCCAATAGATAGAGATACCACTAATGGCCAATGAAGGACACTTGGAGAATAGAAGAAGCTGCGAAACTGGAGCTTCCCTCTAGAACTTCCTAGACCATCCAGAACTTCCTCTATCGTCCCTTTCAGCCAAAAGCAGAGGATCCCTAAGGAAAGACTCACCGGATGAGCAATCCCTCCCTGCGCAGTCCGACACCCCATGCGCAATAGAAGAGAACTGGCGCTGCTTGGATGAGAAATGGGCGTGAAAACCGGTGGTTGCGGACATGGGATTCTGGGTAGGTGCCGATTGGATCCTTTTCTTTTGGTAAGATAGTCAGGGGCATTGACCTTCGTCTCACAGGGTTCTGCTCCAAGCCAAGTGAATGGGGCAGCCCGTTGCTCCACTTCCGAATCGTTGCGTTTGGTGGGTGCTGTTTTCTCTCTTGATGCTTCAGCAGCTCGAGACAGCCAAGCAACTTGAACATCAACCAACTTGCCAACCAACGAACCGACCAGCCAGCCAGCCAGCCAGCCAGCCAGCCAACCAACCAACCAATCAACCAACCAACAGTGCTTGAACGATATATTTTGTTAATGTTGGAACATGTGCAAACATGAACTGTGTGTGCAATGCTTGAGCACAATGGCATGTGCCATTGTGGCTGCACCACGTTGCACCGCCAATTCACCTTCACCTCCACCATGGACGCCTTGCTCAGTCCCGCCACCAGCTTGGTGTAGACCGAGTCATAGTCCCTGAGCGCGGACAGCGGCAAGGTGATCCGCTCATCGCAGATCGCCCGGAACCTCAGCGCCTCTTTGCTGTCGGGGATCGGGGCCATGGGCAGCTCCATCACTGGCGTCGGGCAGTTCACGATGAAGTTCTTCGCCGCCAGGAACGTCCACATGGGAGTCGTTCTAAAGGTCCTTGTAAGGAGTTTAGTATTCGGTGACCATCGGTGTTGGTGGAGGTAGCTCCGCGAAAGATTCGCGATGGAGTTGCGAAAGTAACTTTTTTTCTCGCGAAAGTTTTGCGTAACTGTGTCTTGTAAATTAATGATATGTGAAACCATTCATCTTTGCTGCTGAGCCTTCCTTCTGCGCTGATTACAACACTTTGTTGATTTTGCGCCGAAAAAGCCTGGTGAGGCTACAGTTTGATACCCTGCTTGGCTAGTTAGTGCCCCAAGCCTGTGTATGTGTGCCTGTGGGTGTTTACGCGGCGCCTTTCCGCTCTGAAACGTGGGTGGTTTTTCGCGAAAGTTCCGTGAAAGATCCGCGAAAGCCCCCGCGAAAGCGGCTTCGATTGTAACGGGGAGGTACTTTCTGAGCGCTGCGCTTGTCAGTATACCAGCTTGGTACTGGAAAGTTGCGACTTTAAGCTGGAGCTGCACGGCTTACGAAAAGCTGCGTCTTTCCAGCCCGTGCATGTCATGTACTACCCCTGTGATGAAAGTTGCGACTTTACAGCGGGAGTTGGGGAATCGAATTTCGCGCACTACGCTGGCACTTAAAATCAGCGATTTTCTGACTTGAGCAAGGAAAAGGGCACGGCGATGAATCCGCGAAAGATTCGCGAAAGTAACTTTTTTATTCGCGAAGAATGGCCGTTTCGAGACAAAGGAATTTAGAACAACCACCACATCTTACAGGAGATGGGGCGGTGAAGAACTTCATCGTGAACTGCCCGACGCCAGTGATGGAGCTGCCCGTGGCCCCGATCCCCGACAGCAAAGAGGCGCTGAGGTTCCGGGCGATCTGCGATGAGCGGATCACCTTGCCGCTGTCCGCGCTCAGGGACTATGACTCGGTCTACACCAAGCTGGTGGCGGGACTGAGCAAGGCGTCCATGGTGGAGGTGAAGGTGAATTGGCGGTGCAACCTGGGTGGAGTCGGTCCTGCAAAAGGCGGCGGGGGCCTTGTAGCTGGGCTACCCGCAGGAGTTCATCAAGCAGGGGGAGTGGCCAAGGAGGTGGACCTGAAAGCCAAGGTCCTGGCGGGGGCAGACACCACCCTGCGTACCCTTCGCCTGGCTCCGTGGACCAGACCATTGTCCAAAGCAGCATCAATGGGAACCAAGATTTGTGTACTCACTGCACCCTAAGGGGACAAGCTCCAGGAGTCGCTCTCTCTTGATACTCGCGCCCCTTGCCAGAAGACCTGCTGGACAGCATCCGCAAGATCCTGGCTCCGGCGCAGGTCGACCCACTGCACATCATACACAGCCTGGCAACGTACATCCAGGACCCCGACTACCTGTTCCCCCCACCCAGGCACTGGGAGAAGGAGTTCGCTTGAACGTCACAGACCTTCGCCGGGCATCTGGCCACTGAAGAAGGATCTGCCGGAGGTTCAGGAACTCCCCCATCCTCCGGCCGGGGTAATTACCCTTCTGCAGACCATTTCAGGGAGCTCATCCCAAGGTGGTACGGTGCTGGCCTTCATGCTGCGTCTCCTCTTCAACACGCCATTCGTCCAGTACTCCCCATATTTGCCGGGGTTGCAGCGACGCAAGCGCCTCAGACCAAGGAGTGGCATTCGTGGAGGAGTTCCCGTGGGCGTTCAAGGATGGGGATGCTCTGAAGATGCTGGGTACGCTCCTCCTCTGCCACATGATCCTCATTCACAACGGCCCTTTGGCCTCCCGGGTGCGGCCAGTGAACAGTGACAACCAGGGCAACGTCATGGCAATGCTCAACCTTGGGCCCAGGAGGCCCTGCACGGAGTCGGTCTTCTCCATACACATGACTGCTCCCTAGCAGTCAATCACGTGCCGCGCGAGTTCAACCAGTGGGCTGATGAACTGACTCACCCAGACTTCGCTGATTTCGCTCCGTTGAATAGAGTCCCGAAACAGGAACTCTGTGACCATTCTGCCGCGTCTCCTGAATGGAGATGCCTTTGACCTCAGCGTGGGCCCACCCATGCTCCCGTGACCGGAGCCGGTGGGCGACTCACTTCCCCTGGTGGCAGACCCCTTGAAACCTGGGTGCCTCCGGCGGGCGCTATCAGTCTGCACACCCTTGTCTTCAGAATGATTTGGGGTGGGTGGCCAGTGGGGCCCACCCAGCCTGGAATTTCGGACAGGGGAAGATGAGTCTCTGGCACCAACAAAATGCTTGGATAAAAGAGTTATCGCGTGCTTGTGTGGTGCCGTTTGGTTAGCTTGCATACACGCGTATGTATGTATATATTTATATATATATATATATAAATATATCTCTCTCTTTGTGCCAACAGAGCTGGCACAGCGAGGGTGCACTTGATTCGATCCAAGCCCAAGGGGGGCCGTGTTGAGGTTCATGGAGCATTTCTGCAAGCCCCGGCGTGGACGATTCCCAGTGTAGGGGTGCGCGGAGGTCGCAACATGCCTGTGCTAGTTGGGAGATGGCTGTGGGTCAAAAATAGGTACCTAAAATGGAATCCTGGTAAATGGAAACATGGACCAACACCTCTGGTGCCATTCTAGGAGGGCCGTGCCGTTCTCATTTCGCCCTGCTTCCGGGGGCACACTATTTTCCCTGTGTTGTTTTTTTGCTCTAGCCTTTTTCGAGTCCTTGAGCCAGACCTGTCGCCTGAAGATGCCACCGGGTGCCAAGGTTTGGTGCAAGGCATCCACAAGGTGCAGGACTTGATGTGGCCGGCCGACGGGAAGATGGTGGATACGCCTGTAGGCGTCGACTGAGGGGTTCGCGGGAGAGAGATAGTGACCCAAGGGAGCATCAGCACTCATGCGATGTGTGACTCATGCGCGCGCAGGTTCTTCGCACATTCACTTTTCACAAAGAAGGGCATGCTTGGGCATCCAATTCTTAGTAACTATTGTAAACATTGCACTGCATGCAGATAGTTTCTCCTTTTAAGTGCTCACTTTAGAGGTGTGCTTTGGCCTGTGAGCCAACCTGGACTTTGAGTGTTTGCACTTGAGCTCACCTTTCTCGGCCAGGGCAGCTGCCATATCTTTCATGGGCCAGGAAGATGCAAACACATTTGGTTGCATGGACAAGTCCTGCACCATCACAGATGGTTCAGCTGGTTTCATCCATCCCTCGGTGTGGATTTCGGCCTGCTTGGAGCCAGGTGTGATGGTCACAGGTGACTTGACCGCCTACGGCCACACCTGGCAGTACGACCTGTACCGACAGTAGCTCGATGTCCAAGATGGCGCCAGTTCAATTCGGCTTGAGATTCCGGAAGTCTTCGATGGATCCATCACTCGTCTCTGAAATGTATGGGAGGTTTTCGAGTTGAACATCGGAACTGCCCTTAGTTGCTGTTACTCCAACATGATTTATTCTGCATGCTCTTTTAGCGGAGTGTGCTACAACCTCTTGGCATGATGTCAAGTGCCGGTCAGCGATTTAGTGCGGCGTTCAAACACTCAGATTGTGCAAAAGAGATCGGAGACCAAAGGCTGCGAGCCTCCCAACAGGCAGCTCGTTCGTTGGCGTCTCAGGATCTGGGAGACACGCGAGAGGGAGTCTGCTGACAAGCGGCTTGGATTTGGCCTTCGGTCGCTTGAGATGGGGTCGTTCTCAAAGGGGAAGCCCAACATGCTTGTCTTCCTTTGGTTTTCCTCTCAAACCAAACAAAGCACACCCAATCAAACGGGGTTTTCCTCTCAAACCAAACAACACACACCCATAAGCTGATATTGGGAGCCTGTTTTTTTTTGGTCGTCTTGAATCTTGTTGCTCACAGTGCTCCAGAAAGCCTGGAGCTCACATAGGTGCAAATCGAGTATTATCCTTCCTTCCATTTGCCGAAATGAGTATTTGTGAATTTCCCATGTTGGTTTTTAACAGGAAGTCTATCACTATTGCACTCTATTTTTTCCAGGGGCCTTAAGCAAACGGAGGTAGCTTCTAAGACTTGCGGCTTCAGGCGACCTCTCCCCTGTTTCACGACCAAAGCAGGCAAGTGGAAGAAAAAGACATCATTTCCAACAAAGTGACCAGCCCAAAATCTCAGTGCGGCAACCCTTGATGTGGTGGAATACTTCACGATGCATAGGGCTTGGGCTTCCGGGCTTGCGTGCACAGCATTCCGAACTACTTGCCATGATTGGGGGAAACATGTTTCGCCCTTCGCGAAACATGATCAAGACTTCATAGGGAAGCTGCCCAGAAAAACCCAGCAAGCCATTGCTGAAAAGGCAACATCTACGTGGGTGGGGCTCCCAACACTTGGATTTCGGAGCTCGAGTGTCCTTTTGGTTTGCCGTTCAAACAAGGTGAAAAGGCCGCCCTCAAAGATCGCCCACGTAGTCTACCCATCCGTGAAAACGAGCAAAACGACCGCTGCGAAATCTCTTTCTTGGCCTGAGGAACATCAAGCTTCCGGTTTGGCCGGGCCTGGGAAACCATGACTACGCCAACAACTTGGAAAGTGGCCAGCCCCACAGAGTCGACGGGAGAGAGCGAGAGAGAGAGAGAGAGCTGAGTCACAATCAAAACCCGGGTTAATAAGGGATGTTCCGAACTATAATAAGTGCCTTCGCCGCCTTCTTAATCCTTTACATCGTTCTGGGTTCGTACCGGGTTTTGATTATGACTCAGCTGAGGAAGCTATGAAGAGAAGGGACCTATCCATGTCCTTTCACCCTGCAGCTCTTCCTGTCCACATATCTCGCACTTTGGACGTTTTTTTTTTGGTGTGTGTGTGTGTGTGCAAGAGAGAGTTCAGACTGGCGACGAGGTAAAGAGAAGGAATGATAGAGATGAGAGATGCTAAATAATTTCAACTAAAGGGAAGCGATCACATTCTCTCGTCAGCTCCCTTTGTTCGCTTCTATCCCTTGTTCCCTCTCTCTCTCTCTCTGTCTCTCTCTCTCTCTCTCTCTCTCTGTCTCTTTCTTCCCTCCCGCTCGCCTGGCAGAGATATGACGAGCGAAGAGATCTGAGAGATTAGTTAAATAGGGAAGCAATTCATCTCTCATCCATTCCTTCCTTGCATCTCGCCACTCCAAATGTGGGCGAGAAGGGAGAGATGACAGATGGCCAGGTGATAGACATGAAGCAAGTGGCTGGTCCTTGAAAGCCTTCCTGTCACTCACTCACTCACTCACTCACTCACTCACTCACTCACTCACTCACTCACTCACTCACTCACTCACTCACTCACTCACTCACTCACTCACTCACTCACTCACTCACTCACTCACTCACTCACTCACTCACTCACTCACTCACTCACTCACTCACTCACTCACTCACTCACTCACTCACTCACTCACTCACTCACTCACTCACACTCACGCACGCACGCGCGCACGCACGCACCACCCACCCACACCACCCACCCACCCACCCACCCACCCACCCACCCACCCACCCACCCACCCACCCACCCACCCACCCACCCACCCACCCACCCACCCACCCACCCACCCACCCACCCACCCACCCACCCACCCACCACCCACCCACCCACCCACCCACCCACCCACCCACCCACCCACCCACCCACCCACCCACCCACCCACAGGCGGTTCCATGGTGAGAGCATGAAGAGAAGATGGCAGGGGTCTTGAGTCATCTGGATCCCTCTCTCTCTCTCTCTCTCTCTCTCTCTCTTTCGTTTAATTACCTGGCATGCGATTCCAAGAGCTGACAGGTGGAGAGAGACGAGAGTGGATGGGTGACCCAACATCGCTTTCGCTCTTAATTTGTGGTCAAGCTTGGATGGTCACCACTTAACTCCCATTCCTATCGACATCCCATCCACTGTTGAAATTGGAGAGTGATGGACGGCTCACCTTCGGCCGCTTTCTCCCGGCTCCCGGCCCTTTCTCTCTCCTCACAGCTCGCCTTTCTTCCTCCGGACCCTTTACTTGCGAGCAGTCGGCCACCTCTCTCCTCGCCTGCATGACCTTCAGCTCGCACCAGAGCGGAGCGAGTCCATGTCATGCGATCTCCATTCGCTCCCTCGGCAAGCCTCTTAGTGACCAGCCCTTTTCCCTTCCCCACCCATTTCCAGCTTACGAATTAGAGCGTGAGGGATGGGTGGATGAAGAAAGGGATGGGTGTTCAAATGCGTTTTTTTGGTCTGGTTCTTAATATGATTCCCGTTATTCTAAGCGTTTGGAATCATCTCCCATCCCTATCTCCGCACCCTTTATTTGCTGTCAATGAATTGTGGATGTGGATGACAGCCGAAAGGGATGAGACAAGGGAAGGATATTATCTGACCAATAATTCTGAATCGTTTTTTTTGGTCATCAGAGCAAAACATGCGGGTTGCGCCAGAATCCAGCTGACTCGTCAACGTCCAGTTGAGTTCTACTGCCCAATGGTGTTTGGTACGAGAGAGGGAGACTCAGAGCGCCATGCTCGGGTTCCAGTGAGCCAGCCCGAATCTCGCACCCGGTATGGATATGCTCCCTTTGAGAAGCCACATGACTCGGCAAGCAAGAGAAGCCCGGGCGGGATGAATTTGTGCCTTCCCGCCGCTGCTGAGGCTGGTTTGCCAAACAAGAACCTCTCTGGACAGCCTATGGCTCGCGGATTGGCAAGATTAAGGGTGCGGACGGTTTTTTAGAAGGAACCCTCCTGACTACAGATTGCGCATCCTTTGGAGCGGTTCTGGACTCCTTTGCCCATCCTTTTTTTTTTTGGGATTCTTGGAAGGATCCGGCGTTATTTTTTTCCTAGGGCTAAACCAGCCCTAGTAAAAAAAAAAAAACAACACCGTTACCGACTCTTTGGAACCTCCCCGACTTTCGATATATTTGTCGCGCAAATTGGAGGGGCCAGCCTGGCGCGTTTTTCCCCCGAGCCGTTTCCGCCTCCACTTCGCGAGCTCGGCCGAGCTTCGCATTCAGGAACGGGAACGCGCAGCGAATGGTGGCCTACATCCGCTCCGCCGTCGGGAAGTGTGACGGGTGCGCCTGGCCAGCGATTTTTTTTTGGGGGGTCAGAGAGACCGGGCTGGTCCAAAGTGGTACCGTGGATGGACAAACTTCACTTCAGAGGATGGATCAAACGCTACGACCCGGGGAAAACCCATCGGCTGGTCCAGGATTTTGTCCAGCCAGTTTTTGTTTTTTTAAACGAAAATGGATGTGCTCTGGCTTGTTTGCCACCTTGTTTTTGCAGAGGATCAAGGACCGTCATCTGACCAATCAGCAACCCCAAGCCAAGCGATGCCGACTCGCAGCTTCCGTTTCCAACCCAGATTGCAGCTCCAAAGAACCTCGAGCTGGAAATCTTATGTCACGAATCATCACCGGTGTTTGAGGGGGTCCCTGTTCTGGCAGAGGTCAAGCTTGCCGCTTCTTTCAAACACCTGACAGTCAGACACAATGAATGGTGATGAGGATAAGCCTGTGGATCAAACGGCAACCCTTCTCTCAAGCGGCTTGAGCCGCGCAAGAGACAGATCCTCCATCCGCCCATCTCATCTTTTCCCAAAGCAATTTCTCGTGAGCACCAGGGTTTCTACCGAATTGCCAACTGGGCGACGTTTTGGTCGCGGAGCAGAAACAAGGCAGGCGTGCGTTGCCTGAAGGGGACTGCCTCGTGGCAGTTCAGCTTCGCTGACTGCTTTTGAATCCAAATGCGGAGGGCCCCCCACTCGAGCGGGACATGAAAAATATGACCTCAAGTCCCGATCCGCGGGGTCCGTATATCTCTTGGAAGAACATTTCAACTGGGTCGTTTCTTGGTGATTCCCAGCCATTCGGTCCCCTTTGTTTAACCATTTTTAACCGCTTTTCAGTTGGTTTAGCCTTTGGCGATTTTTTCTTCAGCCCGCAAGTTCAACACTTGCAGGGGAACAGTTGGAGAGACCCAGATGAGCTGCTCAAAACCCGGCTAGAGGAAGGTTGGCAAGGGAGGATCCCAACCACTGAGTGCCTTCGCCGCCTGTTCAATTCCTTGCCTTCGGTTCGGGGAAAAGCGGATCCATTTTAATACGATCCGTTTTGAGGACGTTGTTCCGGGGCAAATACTTCTTCTTTGTTTTTTGGGTATTTTTTAGGGGCTTCCCCCAAAATGGGTTTCCTTTTGATTTCCCTCTGTTTTGATGACGTGTTTTCGAGGGTAAAGTGATTCTTGCAGTTTGTTGCGGGGCGGACCCCCAAGAACCCAAGAATCGGCGGCGTCCCTTTGGTTTCCCGGAGAGAGAAAACGGGCCATCCGAAGAGTGGTACCGAGCCTCACTCCCACGAACATGGCACCCGACTGGGAGGGGTCTTTGGAGAAGCCTTCCCACAGGTGTTGTTGTGAGTGGAAGGGCTTCCCCAAGAAAGTGGTTGTCCTTTTGGTTTCCAACCTGACCACCCTCCAAAAAGGGGGTGGTTTCCCGGAAAAAACAACACATCCAACAATTGGGGCACCAGCTCAAAACAAGACAACTGGAGGAGCCATGAGACTCGGGTATGGGTCAACATTTTCCATCACGACCGGTTTTGGTTTCGTTTCCATTTCTCAAACCAAGCCATTGTGGGGTGACCAACGATTGTCGGGTCAAGCAATTTTGGTTTGCCTTGCACAGGGAAAAACAGTAGAATGGGACAAGCTGATATCACCCGACAGGTTTAGTTTCCTTTCCATTTCTCAGGGCAAGCCATTTTGGGGTGACGGATTTTTGACTCGGCCAGGAAGACGGTGGTGCCCGGTTTCGGGGGCATGGTGGATCACTATGACAAGGACTCCGCAGCCTATTCGGCGCCCTGGCCGATGGCGGCAGGTCTCTCGTACTCGCGGGGAAACGGGGGGGGGGGGGGGGCCTTGGAACTTCCATTGGCCGTTGGTGTTCAACTGAAGAACAGAAAGGGACCCTAAAAACAAAAACAGAAACAGGCATGGCCCATATGGGAAGAACCATGTCTGGCTTAAAGGTCACATGCCCATATGGGAGAATAAACATTTCTGAACTGGCAGTAGTGCAACATCAATCTCTGATTTCTTGTAGCTAACTTTGGTCGACTTCTTGTTTTGGCGGAGGTGCCGTCACTTGCACCAGTATCATTGCCGCCAGAATGGTGGTGCTTGTGTTCTTGTATACCTCCTTGATCATGGTAATCCACATCGTTGTTGTTTGGTCTTTTACTATCGCTTGTTTGTCATGATTCTCATTAATATCATGAATCATATCATTCTCACCTTGTTTATCATACGATTATCATATTATTATCATGTGTTATCATAATGTTATCTTATTGTTATCATATGATTAGCATATTACTATCACATTAGTATTACTATTATGAGTGTTAGTATTATTATTATTATTCTGGATACGTATTATTATTATTATTATTACTATTATTATTATTAGTATTATTATTATTATATTGTTATTATTATCATTATTAATTATTATTATTATTATTGTTATTTTTATTATTGATATTATTATTGTTATTATTTTTCTATTATTATTATTATTATCATTAAATTATATGGTATTATTGTCATTATCATTTTATAGTCATCATATCTATCATTATTGTCATTATTCTCATATCGTCATGACAATCGGATGTATGCGGTCTTAGCCGGAGAGTCAAACCCGTGCGCCTGCAAACTAAGATGGGGTCCAGTACCCCCAAACCACCTTTCAGGGAAGCCCAGGGCATACAACCACTATACAACTATGTAAAGGGTATACGCCTTGATTTCCCTTGGGGGTAGTGTTTTGGTAGTGGACACCGTCTTAGAAACTTACTCTTTTTCTTTCAGCATTTGCCATTTAGGCCAGCACAAGGTTCACTCTTTGCGTCGGGTCTGGACGGAGCTGATGACCGGGTTCCCTCCCTAAAGTTTTCCCAGCGGTTTTAGGCATGTTGGGGCGTTCACAGAGAAGCGTGTTTCCGTGTAGTCTCATACAGAAACTCCAAGGCCGATTCTCTCGTTTTCCCGGACTTGCAAATCCTGGCTTGAAGGACGTGGCAACTGGGATGGCCAAGTATTTTTTCCCCAGGTTCCTACCCTGGTTCTGTGGATGGATAGATTTCTGCAGCTAGGATGGATCAACACCGTAGACATACTGAGGTAAGCCACCTATCAACTGCTGCAGGATTCAGTCCAACTTCCCGCTTCCCCAATGGATTTGGGAAAGCTCTGAGTTCTTGCCTCAGGCGAAGCTTGGGAGGATTCGCTTTGTGCACTTGCACAACTACCCAACCTACCGCGCCTCGGACAAGTGGTTTTGTCTCCAGAGCATTGTTGCATTTGTTGACTCTTTCTATGATACCAAAGCAATCCTTTGCGACACAGACACAAAGCAATCATAGCCCTCCATCAAGAAGCATTTTCCGTGTGTACTCAACACGTGATGGAACACTGAATTGGCATCTTCCCCATTACGACAAAGAGTATTTGCCAAAGAATATCTCGCTATGGCCAGCCCGTGTACTTTTTGGCATGCCCAAAGTGCTGTGGAGCCATACCTGGGCCGCTTACATATTTTGTCTTAGGGCAATTATATTTCAATTGGAGATCTTGCAACAGCTTTGCAGACATGCTTTAAAGGGACAGAGGCAAAAGGAGCAAGCCTGCGAACGCCTTGGTCAAAGGTGGCGTTCGCTCATAGTCTGCCGAACTTACTTTGTTGCACCAACATCTAAGAGGCCCTCTGTTGACATTTGTGGCACTATTAATGGACAAAAAACCAGTACTCATAGGGTTTCATCCATCTCGAGGTGAATTTCATCTATACAATTAGGGCGTGGCTAGGCTTGTACTGTCGCCCTTTTGTGCAGTGTTCAGTCGCTGCGGGCCGAGGTCGCGAGTCGCTGGTAGGACGGGCGCGAGTTGCGTGGACGTGTCATCTCAGAGAACCCCAGCAAGAGTTTTTTTTCAAAAGGATGCACGGGGTGAGTGGTTCCCACTCAAGCTTCACAGCTGCTTTGGCGCCTGGAGGAGCCCTTGATTGGTTTTGGAGGGGAAAAGGGACACTACCCACGGGATCCATGAGAAGAGGCGCCCAATTGACTCCTTGCAGGACTGTCATCCACCATGAAGTTCCTGAAGGACGAGGTAGCCGAGGCTGAAAGGACTCCGGGACGAAGTTGTCGGATACAGAGAACAAAACGCCGCACGAGCACAGCCTTGGTTCATCTTTTTTTTGGTGGAAATGGGCGTGCCTGTTTTTGGGGGTCTTTTCGTTGGGTGGTTCTGCAGGGGTTTTCCACAAGGAGACCCACCATTTTCGCAGAGATGCTGATAGTTGTCGGATTGCTCGAGATGGGCCAAGGCATAGGCTTGGCCTTGAAAAGAATGCAGAGCTCCAAAGTGGATCCGTTTGCATCAACCTGCAGCAACCATGTCATTTGGAACCTCCCATAGATCAAACATCCGGGCAGGGGATGGGGGTGTCCGCGGCCTTTACATCATCCGTCCCCGAAGACCTCACCCCACTGTCACCCCACCGCCCATCGTCAAGTGCCCCTGTCAAAATGGCTAGGTGTGCAAACTGCCACGACGCCAAGGGTATGGCCACGAAAGTGGGTGAGTCGCCTAGGTTTTGTGGGCACCTGCGTGAGTCCACTGGCCCCCTGAAGAAAAACAACTGACTCCAACAGGCTGCAAATATATTCATCCATGTGTATATGTACTGCGCTCGGGAAAGACAAGAGGTAAAACGGCATTCCGAGAACATTCATTGAGGGCCATTGTGTTTTACTGCCTCCATGTGCTGCTCGCATTGAGACAACCCCCAAAGGAGGCACTTTGATCCTTGAAACATTGCACTAGTTGAACAAGGGGTTGACAGAATCAGGGCCCTTTATGGCATCCCCTATAAAAGGCGGCACGGCGGCGCCCATGTCCAGCAAAGGGCCATATGCCTGACACCCTGATTTTCACGATTCTTGCAGCTTCGCCGGACACACGCACACGCCAATCACATTAACCCTTCCTGGGCATGGGCAGAGAACTTTAAGGCTTGGCCTTCACCGCGCCCCGAGCCCAATTTCATTTCAGCCAAGCCAAGCTTTGGGTGGTTTCATCTTGGCTCACGGCTAGGCGTGGAATTGGGTGAAAGCGGGCAAACTTCACTTCCACCTTCCGTGCCGCGGAAGTTTCGGCCTGTTTCAACTCAAGATGGGCTTTCCAACATCCCAGCCTGGCATCCTTTTCAACATTTGCGGCGCGGACGGCTCTTCTGGCCGATGTTGACTATGCAAGCGAACCCCGACCAGAAGGATCCCATGAGCCTGCCAGGACACAGGACTACCTGGTTCTGATGATTCACGACGTCGGAGGGCACTTCAGCCGCTTGGAGGTTTTGAATCGCCAGATGTGGGGCTGAAGGGGAGAGGTGGTTTCCCCGCAAAATGATCCAGACGCAGCTGACATGGGGCAATCTACATTGTCTGTTTCGCTAAAGGCTGTGCGTTCTTCTAAGGATGGAAGCTAAGGATTCACGGGGATACTGTTGACAGGTCATCTTCTGTTTGGAACAAGTGGATTGCTTCTTGAGGCCACAATTTAACTGAATAGCTTGACACCAGGGTCCCGAAGCGGCGCATTCCTTCAACCTTTCACACGCCGCTTTCGCTTGAGCGACTGCTGACGGCAGTTGTCTCCCCCCCCTCAGCATGATGACTCCTTTTACAGTAATCAGTTTGATCGCGCAACTCTGATCAGATTGTCAACCTCAGAACCACTTTCGCCCTGGTTTTTTTTCACCTGGCGGTGCTGTTGACGCGTGTTGTAGTCGCAGGAAAGACCGGGTCGATCTCGGTTGCTACAAAGCCATGCGCGAATGGTGCCAATGCTCAAATCTAGCGACAATGAAGATTCCTTGGATTCCTTATTGCACAACGTGGATTCCTTATGACAAGATCTCCAACCGTTTGTGCAGGGCATGGATTCGACCGAAGCCCTTTGAATATCAAGATAAAAAGGCCCCTGCAGATTAGCAGGTTATGAGCCCAAGACCCTAAAGCCATGCGAGCGCGAAGAAGCGCACACCTTCGTGGAGACGGAGGGCAAGGGCCTGAAGGAGACCTTCTACAGGAGGAGGAAGACCGTCAGGTGGGGGAGTCAGGCCAGGGCAGTCAGCAAGAGGCCCTGGCACTGGTGGAGCCGGCACCGGGCCTTGAGCTGATCGGCCAGGAGCTGGCGTTGGTGGGCCAGGAGACGGTTCAGGGGAGTGGAAAGGGCAGCTCAGGCAGCGGGCCGAGGTCGACTCGGAAGGCGCCTGCGGGAGGACAAGGAGGAGCTGCAAGTGTTGATGGCGCTGCGGATGGTGGCGCTGGAGAAGGAACAGAAACCCCGGGCACGGCGATGGTGCCAAGGAGACTTTGGTCTACGGCGTCGAGAAACCCGTGGGCATCTCCGGTGGTGGCGGGAGAAGAGCAACAACCTGGAGAGGAACAAGGAGATCGGCAATGGAGAGGTGGTCCGAGTGGGTCACCGCAAGCCTATGGTCCGCTCTTCACTAAGGAACAGCTGGACTACCTGCAGCGGTGGGATAAGCCGGGAGGATTGGTGAACCTGGGGAAGGCGAAGGAGGAGCCGGAACTTCAGCTGGTGAGACCTGGATTTTTGGATCAGGAGAGACTTCATCGGGCACCAGATGGAGACGGTCCACAGCAAGACCCAGGGCAAGGGAACCAGGACTACCTCATCAAGGAGATCCAACGGTTGCAGGAGGAGAACAGCAAGCTCAAGGCGGCCACGGGCTCGGGGGAGACCTATGTGACTCCGGATCACCCCAGCGTGAAGGACGCGGACAACCACAAGCCGGAATCCTCGGAGGAAATGATTCGGGACGAGGAGAAAGCTAATCCAGACCACCTTGCGATCATTCTGAAGCTCATGGAGGGCATGCAACAAATCCAGAAGACGCTGGTCAGCGGTGCCAAGGGCAAAGATGATGATCAGGTGGAGGTGGTGAAGGCCGGAGCGATCGAGCTGCCGGTGCTGGCAGAGCTATGCGCGGAGACGAGTTCAATCGACCTGCAGGACTGGCTGACGCTGATTACCCCGGCGATGGCGGACATCTCGGAGACCAGCCAGGAATGGTGGGAGCTCGTGTTGCAGGAGGCAAAGGCGTGGTACGATAAGTACATGCAGGAGGCGCCGTTGAAGAGGCTGGCGATGGTCCCTACGAAGGGAGAGTCGGAGAGCCCCAAGTGGAGAAGAGTGGAAAGGAAGGCGGTCACGCTGCTGGTGAAGGCGGTGCCCGACCAGGTCAAGGATGAATTGGTGGCGACGAAGAGCCTGAACGCCCTGTCGCTGGTTTGCAAGCTGATGATGATGTACCAGCCGGGTGGTATCGCAGAGCGAGGCGCGATCCTGAGGAACTTGGAGCAGCCTCTGGAGGCGAACAATATCCAGGCGGCGGTGACGGGCATCAGAAGGTGGCTTCGCTGGAAGCGGCGGGCGGAGGAGATCGGGGTGTCCTTGCCGGATCCCTCGGTCCTCAATCGAGGGCTTCATCGTCTGGTTCGGAAGGTGCTGGAGGGCAACCGGGACCTTAGCTTCAAGATAAGCCTGGCGAAGTCGCAGCTACAGGTGGACACGGTTCCGACCCACAGCACGGTTGGCGTCTACTGCGAGCACTTGCTGTCGGAGCTGGAGCAGCTGGTGCATACGGAAAAGAAGGTCAGTCCCGGGGAGGCGAGAGCCAAGAAGATCGAAGGCACCTATGCGGAAGACAAGCCCAACGGCAAGGAGGAGACGACGAAGGAGAAGAAACCCTGTCGCTTTTTCCTGACGGACATGGGATGCCGCCGTGGGAGTCAATGCACATTTGGCCATGATGCGCGAGATGGGCGAGCTCGGTGCTATGGGTGTGGAGCGGTCAATCACTACGCCAAGGACTGCCCAAGGAAGGTCGTCAAGGACTACAAGAAGGATGCGAAGCCGTCGTCTCCAAAGGTTGCGAAGATGGAAACGGAGGAGGGGGCGACGTCGGTTTGCGAGAAGGGTGAGACGCCGAGAGGAGCAACCAACACGGAGGGGACATCGCCTACTCAGAAGGAGAAGGGGGATGCAGAAGCCTTGCAGAATGTGTTGGAGGCCGGGAAGATGCTTCGCTCTTTGACGGTGACGACCCCACCGAAGAAGACAGGGCGGGAAGCCCGACTGGAGGACATCCAGAAGCAGCTGGACGACATGAAGTTGCGAAAGTTCGAAGAGGTGAAGGTCTCGAAGATCAACTTCCAGAATGAGAGGGGGTTGCTGGATTCGGGAGCCACCCACGCCATGAGGGGCTTGCAAGAGGGAGAGGAGTTGGAAGACCTGGAGGTCATCCAGGTGGAGCTGGCCGGAGGTCAGAAACAGGAGCTGAGGATGACGAAGGGCAAGGTCATCGTTCATGACGACCCCCAGGTGCAGCCGATCGTACCGCTGGGCTTGATGGTCAACAAGCTCGGCTGTGAAATCAAGTGGAGTATTATGGGATCCTGCAAGGTGAGACATCCGGCTCTGGGTGACATCCCGGTTTGGATGAATGCTGGATGCCCGGAGATTGACCGAGAGCTGGCGCTGTGCTTCATCGACATGTTGGAGCAGACGGAGATCTCGGGAGCCAGGGTCAGGCTGGCAAGGCACGAGGAAACGGAGCTGAGCGGTTTGGCGGAGAAGGAAAAGGTCTTTTGGGGCGTCCCGGAAAAGATCATGGAGAAGGTGGTCGAAAAGCCGGCGGATAACCTAAGAGGCATCCCGCTGAACCGGAGCAGAAGGAGGACGTTGGAGAAGGGGTTTGTACTCCACTTGTATGCGGGTGAGAAGGACGGCTACACCTTGCAGAGAGCGCTCAAGGAGGTGGGCGGTGACACAACCCGATTGGTGGAGGTGGACTTGAAGAGAGGCCAGGAGCACGACATGATAGATGGGCCCCTCTATGCGTCACTGTTGAGAGCGGCTATGGACGGCTACATCTTGGGAGTGGTGGGCGGACCAAACTGCCGGACAAGAAGCGTGCTGCGACATTACCCGTTGCCCGCAGGCAGGCCTCGCCCGGTGAGAGGAGTCACTCCTGAAGATTGGTTTGGTCTTCCGGGGCTCGATGAGGAGGAGAAGAAGCAGGTATGGGAGGACGACGTACTCCTCTACCGCATGATCATGATCTTCTGCGTGGCGGAGGCTGCGAGAAGGGAGAACAGCAGAAAGGGATCAACGAGGGCGAGAGTGACCTTCTTGCTGGAACAGCCGGAAGCGCCGGACTACATGCCGGAGTGTGGGTCATGGTGGAGGACGGACAACTACCGGAACTTCAGGGACCAGCATGGTTTCGTGGAGCATTGCTTCAGACAGGGGGACTACGGCGGGGTGGCAGTGAAGCCCACGATGGTAGTCACGGACTTGAATGTGGAGCTTCCACCTCGGAGGTCGTCTTCGGCAACTACGAGAGGAGCAGTGGCAGTGGGAAGCTCAGCGGCCTTGTCAAGATGGGCACCGGGCTTCATGCGTGAGGTGGCCCGGGCAATCCAGGAGGAGGTGTTTGGGAAACCGGCTCACATCAAGAAGCTCAGCTGGGTGGAGCATGTCCGGCATGGACATGTGCCTTTTCGGAGGGACTGCCGGGTATGTCAGGAGGCCTCGGCGCGGGGGAAGAGGCACTGCCGCGTTACCTACCCGGATGCCGCGGTGCTGAACGCGGATCTCAGCGGACCTTATAAAGCTGGGAAAGACATCAATGACGCCACGATGAAGTACTTTCTCATCGGCTCCTTCACTTGGCCAGCGGAGGAGGATCAGAAGGAGTTCTTTGAGGAGAAGAAAGGAACTGCGGAGGAGGACCTCCCGGTGATCGAGGAGAAGGGCGACGACAAAGAGGATCCGGATTGCGAGAAAGGGGATCTGGATTGTGAGAAGGGAGAAGGTGATGGGGAAAAGCAAGGAGAACCAGATCTGGATCCCGAAGAAAAGGCCAAGGCGGAGTGTGGGGAGCCGAAGCCGCTGAAGCTGATTGTCAAGGCTATCCCGTTGCCGGACAAGAAGGCCAAGACGGTGTTGCAGGGATTGCAGGACCTCTACATCCAGTTGAAGAGAGAGGGGTATCCGGTCCAGAGGTTGCATACGGACCGGGGCAAGGAGTTCCTGAACCACGACCTGAAGACCTGGTGCATGGTAAGGGAGATCGAGAAGACCACCACTAGTGGAGATGCACCGCAAGAGAACGGGCGTGCGGAGGCATGCATCAATAGCCTCAAGAGCAGGATCCGGCGATTGCTGAAGGGCGCCAACCTGGATGTCAAGTTTTGGCCAATGGCGGCGCGCTATGCGATCGTGGCGGAGGAGAAGCGGATGAAGAATGAGATGATGCCGGCAGCATTTGGGGAGGAGGTATGGGTCCCAAAAAGGTCGTGGAAACGGCTGCGGGATCCGTTTGGTCCTACCTACGAGAAGGCGCGCTACCTGGCGGTGGTCAAGGAGGTCACGAGCGGACACGGTGTCCTCCGTGAAGATGGAAAGATAGAGGTGGTCTCTCGAATTGTGAAAGGGGTGGTGGAACCAGAAGATCGTCTACTACCGGAGGAGGGAGAGCCGCATCAGCCACGGAGGAGGATCAGAGGAAAGACCAACGCAGGCGAAGAGAAAAAGACCGAATTGGGCGCCCTCTTGATGTTGCGGGCAACCTTGGAGGACGAGAAGGAGGCCATGGATCAAGATGTCGGTGAGGCATTGGGAATCACGGCAGCCAAGATCCAGGAGATGAAGGCGATGGAAGAGGCTCTGATAGAAGAGATCATGGGCCCGGAGGAGAAGCAGGTGTTGCAGACCCGGATCGCCAGTCAAGCGGAAGTTCTGAGGAACAAGGAGGAATGGCTTCCGGCCATCAAGGCAGAGGTGGAGTCGTTGTTGGAGGGCAAGGAGGCGGTCAGACGAGTTACCAACGAGGAGGCGAGGAGGTTGATGATGGATCCCAACTATAAGGTGGACGTCATGCCGGGCAAGATGGTGCCGACCATCAAGGCACCTACTGGAAAGAAGAAGTGCCGCATCGTGATTTGCGGGAACTATGCCGAGTCGGGTGGCAAGGATTCGGATGAGTCCCTTTATGCGGGAGGTTCAGACGCGATCTCCATACGGACCATCACCAAATACGCAGCGGAGAATGACTGGGAGGGCATGGTCCTGGACATCAAGACTGCATTCCTGAATGCCCCCCTCCAGGAGAAGACGGGAAAAGGAGAGCCGGAGAAGGTGCTGTTGATGAAGCCCCCAGCCATCCTGGTATCCCTCGGGCTATGCAGGAGAGATGATTACTGGGCAGTCACAAAGGCCCTGTATGGTTTGCGCCAGTCACCAAGAAGATGGTCAGTCTTCCGGGACCAGAACATGAGAACTATGGAGTGGAAGAGAGGATCCGACCTCTTCTGGCTGGAGCAAACGGTGTCAGACCCGAACGTCTGGAAGATCCTGAAGGGCAAGGGGAGAGATGATGAACGCGGAGAGCTGACGGGCCTGATGGCGATCTATGTGGACGACATCTTGGCGCACACGGACAAGCTCACGCAGCAGGAGCTCTACAAGGTGATCCGGGAGAAGTGGGAGACCAGCGAGCCAGAGTTCGTCACTTTGGGGGCCAAGGTGAGATTCTGCGGCATGGAGATCAGCCGCACGGAAAGAGGCTACCATCTCGGGCAAGCGGCGTACACGCAGGAGCTCCTGAACCGATATGGAGATGGTGGTTATGGGTCGGTCATTCCGATCAGCAAAGATATGACGGAAATGCCGGAGGAGGAAAACATCACGGCGGCGGAGGTGCAGGCTGCGCAGAAGGCGGTGGGAGAGGTCTTGTGGCTTACCACCAAGACGCGACCGGACATGTTCGTGACGAGCCGGATGTCCTCGGCAGTGACAAAAGCGCCGAGGTGGACTGTGGAGTTGGGGAAGCAGGTGAGAAAATACCTGCACAAGACTGTGGACATGGGCCTGTGGTTTGAGAGAAATGTGGGCGAGGGCATCACTGGTCTGAACGAAAGGAGACTGGAGGTGTACACCGATGCCTCGTTTGCGCCAGGAGGAGGACTGAGCCATGGGTCGGTGGCGGTATTATGGAACGGAGCAGTGTTGGCCTGGAGGAGCTCGAGGCAGAGTTCACCCACGTTGTCGACAGGGGAGGCGGAGCTCATGGAGTGCCTGGAGGGGATCATCATGGGCGAAAGCGTGGAGGCCCTTGTGATGGAGATTGAGGAGGTCACGGGTGGCAACTACAGAAGGCAGCTCCTGTCGGACAGCTCGGCAGCGATAGCCATTACGCAAGAGGCTAGTGGAAGCTGGAGAACTCGGCACCTCAGAGTTCGGGCCTACAACTTGCGGTGGAGATTGATAGAGGAGAGTTGGTCGATTCACCATGTGTCGGGAGAGGTGATGCTGGCGGACTTGGGCACGAAGGCACTCACGGGCAAACGCATCGAGGACCTTCGCAAATTGTGGAAGCTAGAGCCGTTGGTGGAGAAGAAGGAGCAGAACGTGGAGAACGTTGGCGGTGAAGAGAAGGAGAAGAAGGTGACGGTTTTGCGCGGAGATCCGGAGGAGACGGCAGCCATGATCAAGGTGGTTGCTTTGGTGAGCATGATCTCGAAGGCGCAGGCGGTCAAGGAGAAGATGGAAGAGACGGGGGAGGACGAGAATCATGACATGCTGAAGGTCCTGATGATGCTCGTGAGCATCCTGTCGATCATCCTCTACAAGCTGGTGGAGACAGTGTGCCAGAGATCGGTGGCGCCAAGCATCAGAGCCCTTCGGAATCGGGGAGTTCTTCGGGAAGATGAGCAGGAACCGGAGGAGGAAACAGATGGGAGTGCAGCGCATCAGGTGAGAAGGACAGTGGAGCCGTGGGGCGAAACTATGTCAAGAAGCATGTCATCTACCGGAGGTGGAACGGCTAGTGGGCCATCGGCCGGAGGTGGATTGTCGAACGGCTAGTGGGCCATCGGCTGGAAGTGGAGCGGCCAGTGGGCCATCGGCCGGAGGTGGATTGTCAAGGAGGTCATCTACCGGAGGTGGAACGGCCAGTGGGCCATCGGCTGGAGGTGGAACGTTCGGCGGGCCGTATACCGGAGGAGCATCGTCATCCCAGAGGGCGTCTACTGGAGGTGGGACGTCAAGGGGGTCATGTACCGGAGATGGAGGAAGTCAGGCCTTGGGAGCCAGACCCAAGTCCTTGCCGATGAATGCCAAGGGGCGTGGGAAAGAAGGAACAGGTGCCAGGCGTTGGTTGGAGCCGGAGCCTGAAGAGGAGATGACGAGCCCGTCGGAGCAGTATGAGCCGGTGATTCCGCCGGGAGATGAGGACCTGCCATTGGAGCCAATCCTCCTCAGGTCTCACTGGGGGGAAAGGTATCATGTGAGAAGGCATTGCTATGGCCTTCGACGGGCGACAAGGACCCATGATTTGATGCCGTGCCCCCGGTGCTGTACGCCAGATTTCAGGAGGTTGGTGACAAGCCTTCCGGGCCCAATCTACATCCGCAGCCCGGGCTACTACCACTTGCTGATGACTTGCGCCGGAGGAGAACCTGAGAGGCTCACATTGTGTGGGTACTGCATGGGAAGCCGAAGGCAAGGGGCTTGAGCACGTTTTGTGCATGCAGCACGTAGCCGAAGCTGCATGGGAGGAGTGACAAGATCTCCAACCGTTTGTGCAGGGCATGGATTCGACCGAAGCCCTTTGAATATCAAGATAAAAAGGCCCCTGCAGATTAGCACCTTAAATTCCGTGAAGATTCCTTGAATTTTTGGTGCACAGCATCGACTCATCCCAGAGAAAGGCCCTCCTTGTGACTTTCAGGTCACACGAAGGACAAGGAGCGCTACGACTACTTCTCCGAGGTCACTGCAGGCTTCGGGTGGCGGCAGAGCCCCAGCCATGAACATTCTGGTACAAAAAGACCCTCAAACATTGCTATCCCCTCTAACATGGTTGCATGGGTACCCCGTCAAACGCGGTTGCCCCCTCAAACGTGGTTATTCCCTCGAACGAGTCAGAGCAGTCTAAGGCTGACCGTTGACCCTTGGTTTGTGGCCACAGAGCCCTCTTTGCTGCGGATAGCCCCCAAACTCTGGGAGCCCGCGTTGAGAGGCAAAGATGACACAAGGGTCCTGAAAGGAGGACCCCTAGTTTTGATACCCCCTTCATTTGAGGATGGTTCTTTTTCTGCGGACCGCATTGCGATTTCTTGGCAAGCCGAAAACAAGAGCTCTGTGTCCTTGGCTCGTTTGGAATGGACACCTTTCAGGGGCTATGGCTCAAGTCCTTTTCATTGGGTTCATGTAGCTGACGCAATTCACCCATTTAGATACTACCAGTAGCGGAGGGCGGAAGTTTCGAACTGATAGAACATATAGTTATCTTCCTCTTTCTTTCCTTTTTACTTTCTCTTATTGCTGTTCTTTTGTCTTTCTTTCGTTCTTTCTTTTCTTTTAGGTTATTTTTCTGTTATTTCTTTATTTTCTTTTCGTTTCTTATTTTCTTGATTTCTCATTTATTTCTTGCTTTCTATCTTTCTTTCTTCCTCTCTGTCTCTTGGTCTTGTTCTTTTTCTTTCTCTTTCTACCTCTCTTTCTCTAGCTATCTATCTATCTATCTGTCTATCTATCTATCTATCTACCTATCTGTCTGTCTGTCTGTCTGTCTGTCTGTCTGTCTGTCTATCTATCTATCTATCCATGTTTCTATCTATCAATCTGTGTATTTGTCCTCCGAAAGCGCTGCGCCTGCCACGAAATCTGTACCTGTGGTCCCGGCTCTGAACGTGTTCTGAACGCGCACCAATGCACCAAGCGTTGCGAGTCCCCCGCCACGCGCGCACATGATTTAGCGCGTGCTTCTTCTTCTCCTGTCATTTGTCTCAGTGAGCTGGCTTTGAATTTGTTGCCGTACCAGGCAAGTTTTTTCTAAGCTTCCTTTGAGTATGCCAAATACTTAATGTTGACCCAGGATCAATGAACCCGTCTCCCTCCAAAAGTGATGAATCCCCACTAAAGGGGGACACCCCGCCTAGTAATCCACCAGGGGTTTATTAATCCGGGGTTAACATTAAACCTTTTTAGCTTTTTAGCCTTTTAGGGTTTAGTGGGGATATCCATTTAACCCACGCAAAGTTACACTTGTAGCGGGGGGATCTGAAAACGGACAGCCCAGTTATATGCACGTCCACTTTGGCGCATCTAAGCACCAGGCTCTCGGCTTCTGGCCGTCTTCGCAGGGCATTGGCGCCCCGGACTTCAAGCGTTTGCCCGGAGCAGGGCTTCATATTGGGCTTCATATGGCTGTGGCTGTCAAAACCAATGGGATCCCATTTTGGTTGGTGCGCCTGATGTTCTCTCGCGCTTGGGCGCAATTTCACGAACGGGGACATCATGTGCTCCAGAGGAGGTAGGGAGAAATGGCTGTGGGTCAAACCCCGTGGGATACCATTTTGGGGTAGGTGAATTCACCACCCATTAGAACCTATTTTAGGCGGGTTGGGATGTTCATTGGGGTACGATTTGGATTTTGACCCACGGCCCATATTGCCTTTTTGTGGGGTGGAGGGAATCAAAACCTGGCAGTCAGTTCGGATAGGGCTGGGTAGGTGGCTTAACCCAGTATTCATGGAAGTGGCACGGAAGTGGCTGAGCTGACATCCCCTTGGATGTGGAGAGCTCTTGCATAGGATTTTGCCTCCTGCTCTTCGGGGTTTCCGTCAAAAAGACGCCCAAATTGCAAGCCGAGGTTTGGCAATTCACAAGGGCGAAAAGGGCAGGACATGCTTTGCTGGATGATCGGCATCAATCCAAGAAACTCGGAGCAGAGAAGGTAAACTGCAAAAGGCCAGCCCTTTGTTACTCACATCGGAACATCATAACCATGAGGCGTGCTTTCATAGATCCATGATGCCTAGAGTCCATTCTGAAAGGCTAAGTCTCGCCGATTTCATATCAACCCCGGGAACACTATGCGTCTTTCGGGATGTGTGACTCAGCAGTCTTGCACAGGTTTTGCAGCTTTTTCCTTGGCGACGACTTTGAAGGTGACCCTGAGGAGTTGTGCTTGGATGACACGGAGGTCATGTCCCGTGGCGTTTGTCGCATTAGCTGTGTTCCATTTGATCTGAGGAAGACCCAGATCCAGTCGGTGTTGGTCTTTTCGTGTTCCAGCAAGGTTGGGCCGGGCCCATTGGCTTGGCGCCTCTGAAAAGGCGCCTGAAAAAGCCACCCGCCCACGAGAAGCGCTTGGCCGGTCTCCGGTCTCCGGTTCGGCTTGAGGCACACTGCGGGAGGCCACAAGTACGGGAACTTGAAGGACTCCCTCACTGGCGCAGATCTCCTGAACTCCTGGGGCGGAGAGGCCGGGAGTCGGGGGGTTGGGGGCTGATCTCTTGGCATGCGCTGCGGATGGCTTCGCCTTCGCAAAGGTCCAGGATGGCCATTGCCACAGCTTCATGACTCATGGACTCTCTGCTTGTGAAATGGTTCGTGAAAAAATATGTCACGCGCGGAATCCAACAGATGCGTGCACTTTGCGCTTGCAGGGGCAACACAGCGTGTTATTGACTTTTTGCAATGCAGGAACGAGATGCCCGGTTGAAACGTAGGATTCGAGGAAACACTCACAACATTGCCCGCGAGTCCCTAGGAGCAATATGCTTGATGCCCAGTCTGCACATGTTGCCCGACCTTGAGACATTCCGACTCCAGCCCTGTGAGAACCCCGCATGCCGAGCATGGGAAGCGTCCTTTTTCGATGGCCACCCTTAAGTTCAAAGGAAACCGGAGGGAATTCCCATTGCAAGGTTCCTCATTTTGAGCCGACGGCTGCTTTTGCCTCCCGGACGGTCTTGCAGGTGCCCATTCTGCGCGGCTACGCCCCAGACAAAGCGATGCTCGGAGTGGAGTGGAGTGGCCAGCTGTGTGCCCGCGGGCCGTAAATTCATGGAGGTTGCGTGTTGTTGCGAGCGGAGAGGTTGCTACTGCAGCTGGTTGGTTGCACGCCAGGCTGTGGGGTTAGGCTCATGCCAGGGCTATGCAAAAGAAGCAACTCAGCCGCGCGGCTTTGACACCGGGCCTGGAATTTGTGGAACAATGGAGGCGCCTTATTTGAGTCATGTTCCTTGTCCATGTCAATCTGTTCCTTGACGTGGTCATGGAAAAACTGACTCATCACCTGCTTTGAGCACCAGGATGGAGGTCCGTTTGGAGGTGCAGACTCCCTGAGCTGGGGATAGAGCTCTAGGCCCTCGGTGAAGGGGCAGAGCACCGATCTGGTGTAAGGGGATGACACCGGGCACACAAAGCCCGACATACCATCATGTTTTCTTTTTTTTTTGGGGGGGGAACTCATCAACATCCAATGTCATTGGAGGGCACAATGAACATTTTGACTGTGACTCACATGCCCCAGACACCACTCCGGGAGTGGCACGTGCAGAAACCTCTCCGAGGAAGTTCTTGGTGACGCGCTGGAATCTGGCGAAGTGCTATTGGCGCTTCGGAACGGTGGAATCCACGGGGACCCCGGCAACTGCGCAGTGGTTCAGCAGCGCCTTGGGCTGAAGGTGGAAGAGCTGCTAACTCTGGTTCCGTGAGGCTGCTTAGAAGGGGGCCCCGGACGGATTTAGGGGGTGTTCGCCGCTTGGGTGCGGCTCCTCAAAAAAAAACCACGGCGATCGATGTTGGGTGCCAATCGACTCAATGCGTCGACCCGATGCTGCCTCTTTGCGATTCCGATAGGCGATGTTGGATGATGGGTAGACACTTTCCGCGTCACAGTTATATGGTAGCACCTGTGTTCTTAACAAAGTGAGCAGTTTAGTTTGTGGCGGGCCTGGGTTTGCAACAGAACTGCTTTAGGGCCTCATATTTTGTGGACCAGCCTGGTTTCCGTGATTTTGAGTGGAATCCTTTCAAACCACAGCCATTCCGTAGCGAGCTGCCTGCTCTTATCATTCCTGTTTGCCCAACTACCTGTAAGCCTTGTAAACTTGGCTGCAATTGAAATATGAATGTACATCCATGGACAAGAGAACGTGAGCGAGAATCATTCCTTTCACCATGAACGGGTTGCTGGGGTCTCCATCCTACAAACTAAAAAAAAATGTCTTGAACCTGCCCCCTTGTGCCTGACGCATGGACTCGCACTCGGGCTCAGTGCCGGGAGTGTGCACCAGGCCATGACACGTGAGTGAGATACTTGTTGGATGAAGCGCACTCAGCCTTTCGCAGCAGCAGGACTTGAACCGCTTCAAAGCCCAATGCACCTGGCAGAGTGAAGGGTTCCAAAGGCCCTTCAACAGTGACATTGAATTTGCGGCCTTCTTGGCTATGTTCGTCCCATAGACTCGAAAGGCTTGCTAGCCAAAGTACAAACACCATGCACAGAACATATTGAACCAGCTTCATAAACCGCGTGCAAACTTTCTTCAAATTGAAAGCAGCCATGAATTGCAAGCATGTGCTTTGGGACGTCGAACATTTGTGACCCACTTCCTTTGTGGGAGTAGGACTGCCCTCGGATCGGCGGAATTAGTCATCAGATATGGTACGAGAGATGGTTTTTTCTCCTGTCAGGTGGGGACGAGAAGGAGCACAACACCTTCGACATTCCAAACTGCACAGTCCCTTGAGTGGATGTTCTTTTTCTCGCAGGTTTGCATCTCTCAGCCGATTTTTCTTTCCCCTTGCAACGCTGGCGGTTTTTTTGATTGGGACCCACCGCAATTCTAACTTCTGCGGAAATTCCATCCACCTCGAAACACGGGCAATCGCGCCATCGTAGGGGTTGACCAGTGGCTCTTGGAATTGACTGGCGAATCGACTGGCGAATCTTTGTGGTAAAACTTGCTGGTATACGGAGTGAACTTGGGGGTGTGGGATTGAACCGGTTTTAGGGGATTCCCTGAAAGGATTTCGAACGTTGGATGGTTCTCTTCAGGGTCATTCCAATTCTCCTTTTGTGCTGAGAAGCAGCAAGAGAATCGTCCAGGGTGCATCCTTCCATTGCTACAGGATGTTGCGGGGCTCTCGATTCGGCCATGCCGACCAGTTCAGGAATTTCACCACTCAGCTGCGCTTAGGGGCTTCTCCTTGGGATCTCGCGCTTGCGAAGCAAGCTGCCGAACTGGATGGGTCGCTTTTTTTCGCTGGGAGCGTGAGATGGCGAAAACTCATGCCACATCCCCGCTGAGGTCGATTCGGACTATGTCGCTCCAGATAGCAGCGCCGGCCATGTTTTTGTTTTGCCCGCGGGGGCTTTCACCTGCAGAAAGCTGACACCCAAACACAGCTTGCTGGCGTGCCAATAGTGAAAGGAGCCCAGAGGGTCCAAGCGCCTGAGGATGTACTTCAGGAGCCCAAAATGGGCGAAGTGCATCCTCACAAGGTCCTTGGGCCCTGAGCAAAGTGCGGATGCTACAAAGTTGTGCTTTGTTTGCTAGATGCCTTTCCGTCGTTTGACGTTCACCGAGGCGGATGGCAGCTAGCTTGCCTAAGGGCATATATATATATATATATATTCTTTTTTTGGCCGATCTCAGGAGTTTCCTACGGATGCCATGGTTTTTCAAGCTACACCTTGGGATCTTGGGCGCAGGCGTCCTTTTTAGGTTAGTTTGATTGAAAATTGATGGGTTCTGGTTTAGGTGGGGTTTCTTCCATTTACCAGGGCCATCTATTTTTCCAAAAGGCCACCTATGATCTTGGGACCTTGGGACCTTGGGACCCTGGGACCTTGGGACCTGAATTCTTTGATAGGACCTCAGGACCTTTGGAGAAGTTTTTTGCCGCTTTTGGTTCGGTTGGACAAATAGATGGCGATTCCTGGTTTACCTGGTTCAGTGATCTACCAGGGCCATTTATTTCTAGAAAAGGACTCCTGTGGTCGTACTTAGTTGTGCTGAAGGAGCGTTGCCGGCGTGAAGACAGTTGGGATTTGGAGCCGCCCGCTGATTTTCCACCAACCTCACTCGGGGGGGAAGCTTTTGTAGGAAGCAGTGCCGGCAATGAGCGTCGCAGCAACATCAAGTAATTGGGATGCTGCCTCTTGGCGCACTAGAGATCCCCTGAGGTCTCAGGAAGCCCAACGTGGAGACTTGCGAGTTTGCTTTCACCCCGTTTCAAAAGGATCACATGAAACAAGGGTTTCCACGGCTCCGACACGCATCTTACGCTTTCTCGACCAGGATTTATCCCTCCCCCTGAGTTTGGGGCGCGGTTCAGCACCGATACCAGGCTAGGCCTTCATTGTGTTGTCATGCCAGACCCTCAAGTCTTGCTGGAGGGCCCAATGCTTCGCAGTGGATGAACCAGATTCTGCACTGGGCATGGATGAGGATGCGCCAGCTGCCGCCTGCTGGATTTGGTCCATTCATATGCCGAAGAACTTGCCGTTGATTTGAACACTTGCTGCGGGAGCCATCAGCCTCCGGTATCTAGTCAGACCTCGGTGCACCGCTAGGCTGAGGTTCCCCGGAAAGCCTTAATCAGGGTGAAGTTCCTATGGAAGCATGGCCCATGTCTGCAATAGGTTGAAACTGTATCAACTGGCGGCACTTGCTACGTGGCTCTGGGTTTGGACATGCCAAGTTCCTTGCAGAAGAAAGAGGGGTCATGCGTTCCTAAGCGAGGCACTAGGACTCCCAAAAGAGTTCCTTGAAGGATTCATTGGTTTTGCCCCGCGGGTGTGTTTGGGGATTTGTCGGGGTGAACTCGGGCAAGGCGCAACTGGAGGCTTTGAGCACGGGGATGGTTTTGGGTTGCTAAAAAGCGGCCTGCGAAGCAGGGAAGGAACTCGAATTTGGGTTTTCTGAAAGATTACCCCAGGAAAAAATAATCCAGCCCACCCTTTAGTCCGATGTCCTGGGGCAAAAGTAACCCGGCGAGAAGCCCCATACTTGGGCGCCAGACTTCTTTGGCATGATCTCGTTCACCATCTCCACCCACCCGGTCTGGGCGCTGCTGGCTTCTTGGCCAAGATTTGAAGATTGCACGATTTGTTTAAACCGCGAGCGATTCCACGGGATCAGGGGGTTCAGTTTTCCACTATGATGTCTGTCCTTTACTTGGGACTCAATTTCTTGTTTCAGTGTTGTGTTTCTTTTCTATCAACACTACGAGTTGACTCATGTTGACTCCCATGAGACCGTTTTCCCACCACATTCCAACGATTTTTGGGCCATGAAGCCCATGATGCCATCAGCTCGGCCTCGGGAAGTTGATCTCTCAGGTTCTTGCCGATAAGTTGCTCCAAATCAATCGGCCTGACACCTGACTTCAGCCAACTGGAGGGAAGGACTTCATTTTTTTTTTTCATGTTTTTTCCGTTTTTGTTTTCTCCCGCAATTCCATGGGTTGGTGCAGCAAAAGACACAACAGGCACATTGCCGCGCCTTTTGTGAATATGGGTACGTGTCAAAGCAGCGGGACCCCCCAAGATGCTGGTGTTCCTGTTGATGTTCCTTTAAACAAACCTTTAATGGGGGCGGGGGAAACAATTCAAAGCACGATAAACATAAGACGAAAGAACGAACGATCGAGCGAGAGAAGGAAAGAAAGAAAGAAAGAAAAGAAAGAACAAGAAAGAAAGAAAGAAAGAAAGAAAGAAAGAAAGAAAGAAAGAAAAGAAAGAAAGAAAAGAAAGAAAGAAAGAAAGAAAAGAAAGGAAGAAAGAAAAAAGAAAGACAAGAAAAGAACAGAAAAGAAAGAAACAAAGAAAGGAAAAGAAAGAAATAACGAAATAAAGAAAAATAAAGAAAATACAGAAAATAAAGAAAGAAAGAAACAAAGAAAGAAACAAAGAGAAGAAAACGACAAAGAAAGAAACAAAGAGAAGAAAGAGAAGAAAGAAAAGAAAGAGAAGAAAGAGAAGAAAGATAATAGGAAATAAAGCAAGAAAGCAAGACAGAAAACAATTTACAATTCAAAGAGTTCAACAATAAAGGACACAAAGAAAAAAGCCAGACACATGACCGAATGACATAGTTTGTTTTGTCTGCGTGCGTTTCTTTGGTTCTTTGTTTGTATGCTTGTTTGGTTGATAGTTTTTTTGGGCTTGCTTGCCTCTTTGCTTGTTTGTTTGGTTGTTTGTTTGCTTGCTTGCTTGCTTGTTGGTTTGTTTATTTGCTTGGTTGCTTGCTTGTTGGTTTGTTTGTTTGATTGGTTGCTTGGTTGTGCGTTTGTGTTGTGTTTCAGCCAACCAACCAACCAACCAACCCACCAACCAACCAACCAAACAAAAAATAAACAAACAAACAACCAACCAACGAACCAAACAAACGAACCAAACAAACGAACGAACACACAAACAAACAAACACACAAACAACCAATCAAACAAAAACGCAACAACAAACAAAGAAGCAAGCAAGCAAACAAAAACAAGAACACACACACAGACACAAGCAAGCAAGCAAGCAAGCAAGCAAGCAAGCAAGCAAGCAAGCAAGCAAGCAAGCAAGCAAGCAAGCAAGCAAGCAAGCAAGCAAGCAAGCAAGCAAGCAAGCAAGCAAGCAAGCAAGCAAGCAAGCAAGCAAGCAAGCAAGCAAGCAAGCAAGCAAGCAAGCAAGCAAGCAAGCAAGCAAGCAAGCAAGCAAGCAAGCAAGCAAGCAAGCAAGCAAGCAAGCAAGCAAGCAAGCAAGCAAGCAAGCAAGCAAGCAAGCAAGCAAGCAAGCAAGCAAGCAAGCAAGCAAGCTGGCAAGCAAGCTGGCAAGCTGGCAAGCAAGGAAGCAAGGAAGCAAGGAAGCAAGCAAGCAAGCAAGCAAGCAAGCAAGCAAGCAACCCGGCCGGCCGGCCGGCCGGCCGGCCAACACTCAAAACACAGAGACAGACAGACAGACGGACAGAGACAGAAGGGCAGAGGCAGAGACAGAGGCAGAGGCAAGCAGGCAGGCAGGCGGGCGGCAGGCAGCCGACAGACAGAGAGACAGAGAGACAGAGAGACAGAGAGACAGAGAGACAGAGAGACAGAGAGGCAGAGAGGCAGAGAGACAGAGTCAAAGACAACGACAGAGACAGGCAGAAAGTACATCTAACACATAAGTAAGCAAGCAAGCAGGCAGGCGGGCAGGCAGGCAGGCAGGCAAGGCAAGCAGGCAGAAAAGCACGCAAGGAGGAAACAATATAAACCAAAAACATTTAGAGGTTGCTAGCCGCAGACTGAGATAGAGACAGGCAGGCTGAGCGACAAGCACACTTTTTCGGGCCATGTCAGAAGTGATGAGTGAAGCTGTGATTGCCTTTTGGAGTTGCGCAACTAGAAGGGATAAAGAATCAGCCTCATGGAAGCGGGTCTCAGATGAACAGAGGCATATCACAGCAAGTGGAAGGAGCGATGGGCCATTTGGGTTCCATTGGCAATGTGTTGGCTGGTCCTATCCAGCTCTGGTGATTGCAATGGAAGCTTGCAGCATTGCTTGTGACTCTGCGCAACAACCTTGACAAAGCTATTTACTTGTAGCAGGATGCTCAAACCCTTTCTCTTTTGCGTGGCACCGATTGGTGCTGCTTTCCAAGCAGCATTCCTGTGATCTGTGTTAAGTTCTCGTGCTATGTCACCTTCACACGGCCAAAGCATCAGGCCAGCCAGAGCATCAGTTTTGGACTGCCATGCAAGCGTGCCTTCGCGAAGTCGCTGCAGGTTGTTCTGGTTCAGATGGCGCTTGCTTGAGCTGCGCGGCAGAAGCCACGGACAGCCAGATTCGCGCTTTCTGCTGGTCTTTGTGTTCTTTTCAGGGTCCAGCCAGGGAAGACTGACACATCCTAAACGCCCAAACACGGCATTCAAGGCGTTTTGACTGCTATTGGGTTGGATCTTTAGACTTTAACTTTTTGGGAAATCAAGGGGTTTCCACTAAACCCACAACAAGTTAAATTTTGTGCAGAGGGATCAGCAGCATTCCAGGGCGTTACGCTTTGACAAAATGCGTTTTCCCAGATCGACCTGGGCGGTTAACGTGCCTGTCGGGTGGCTCGCAAAGTGACTGCCTAGGGGAGCGAGGGCTCGCCTCACAGACATCGCGACCCCTTTGCCGACGTCAACATGGGGTTTCGCGGTTTGTTGAGGGTACCCGTTTTAGGATGGCTTAAAGGGAAGCTCAACTAGGCCCCCCAGCTAGGTGCCCTTTCACCCTTTTTTGGGGGAGGGTTCCCTACAATAAACTACAGAAAAAAAAGGGGTACCCTTATTCCAACCTCGCTACTGGAGGACCTAGTTAAAGGAAAGCAAAAGGAACATCCCATTTTGCGGGGCCCCTTTTGTTTGCTTTGAGTGTCACAATCTGCGGCGCATCGCAAGAGCTTGGGCCTTGGAAGTCTCAAGTGCCGCAGATTCTTTGGCCCAAATCCTTGGGCCTTGAGCTTCTAAGGCTTTCGACTTGCTGGCTGGGTGGGCGAGATATTTCTCGGGGTTCTTGTACGTAGGCTTTTGGCCGCTTTCATAAGGCATGCAGGGAACCAATATGTGAGATGTTTTTTCTGCGATGGCCATTGGACCACTTGAGCCTTGGCGACTTTTTGTGGTTTCTGGATAGGGCGCAAGCTCATACTGGGTGTTCCTGATGCTCAAGGTGCCCTTGAGCACCGTCTTATGCCAATCCACAAACCTTGGTGGCTCCCAGCCATCCGGTTCCTTAGCTTTTTAGCTTTTTTGTGTTTAGTCGGGTTTTCCATTTAGCCCACGAAAAGTTAGTCACTTTTAGCGGGGGATCTGGGGGACAGCTCAGAAGCCAGAATGCCAACTGGGGCAACTGAAGTTAAGGCCAACGATTTGACGACGGCAAAGGGCGAAAGAGCAGGCGGCCTGCAGGACCTTGAAAAGGTCGGGTTTGGTCGCGGCGTTAAACAATTCGACGTTAGCCTTTGTCAGCTCAGCCTGGCATTTTTTTTTGTGGCTTTCCTAGTCGCAGATCGATACGTGGCATTTGGATGGAGCGAGTGTTCGGCGAAGCGGGAACGAGTTCGGAGCTTTGGGAAGCCTGTCGGTGCCCATGGCGAGCACCAGGATGTGGCCTGGTTGTTCAGGGAATGGCTCTTTTTTCTTGTTGCCATAGATCTAGGGGACACTTCCATTTCCATTCTTTCCAGGGATCCTTCTTCTCAGAAAACCATCAGAACCCCAGGGGAAGCGGCTTTTTGAAAAGAAGTTTGTGTGAAAAGAATGGACAAGGAATCAACCCCTAGAATAGAGGGCCATCCGATTTATGGTGTCAGTCACCAACGCGGGGGCTTTTTTCCCGAAGCTGAAGCCCGCTGCGCGCGTAAAAAGCGCGGCGCGTGTGCGGGGCTGGCCCACTTAAGCACGGGCTTTGCAAAGGGGGGGGTTCATGGCAAAGTCCAATTTCGGGGGCAATCATGCACAGGTTTTGGTTTGCTTTGCGCGTTACTGCTTGGTGGCTTCTTTCTCCGTGTGTGTGTGTGTAGCAAGTGGACTGGCAATCAGGCAGCGTGTGGTTCTCTGCCCTGCTTGCAGATTCTCATTCCAATGTTGGCAGAGCTGCGAGAGTGACTTAGTAGTGACTAGGTCGACATCAACAGCTCGTACCCACCGCATAAACAGTGGCTTTTGTCCCACCTCAGTCGGGCAAAGGCATGTCACAGTTTGGAAACAAGTTGTTTCCCACTGAACCAGGAAGCCTGCAAAGGCAGCAGTTCCGCAAAGCCAGTAGAAGTGATGTAGTCAGACCTGCCCCAAATGTGAGCTATCCGTTTGACATTGTGCTTGACCGTTTGCAATACGCTCTCACAGACACGGAAGTGTACAGGCCCCTTTTGGACAACGTGTCCTTTGCAAAGCAGGCCCGTTGGTGCTGAAATGAATAGCGCAATACAGACTGCCATTCGGGCCTCCCATGCCCGAGCGCTTCTCCTTCAGATGGTTTCATTTGGCTCTGGGCAGAGTGCCTGAGGGGGAAAGGTCTGATATACTGCGCCTACGGGGAGCCATGCCCAAAAAACAAAGAAAACCGACGGAGGACGACCCAGGCCCCAAGGCCCCACCGCGAGTCGCGCGGGTCAGCGAGAGACAAAATCCGCGTCTCCCCCATCTGAGCCTCGTGAGGTTCAAAGGGGTCGACAAGATCCCCACGGAGGGCAAGTGCGCTTCGACCGGCGCTTCGAAGTCTCGACATGGCTCATGACTGAAGCGAGGCATGGAGAAAACATCTAGGCCCCCCAGCTAGGTGCCACTTTACCAACTTTTTGGGGGCAGGGTTCCCCTGCTAAAATAGACGACAGAAAAAGGGTACCCTTGTTCGAACCTGTCTACTGGAGGACCTAAACATGGTACTTGTCATTTTCCAGAAAATGCTTGCCACGAGCAAGCCGGAGATTTCTATTCACAAGCCATGTGTGTGCGCCTGTTTGTTTGCCGGCTTGCTTGTGGCAATTCCTCACTTCTGTGCACCTTTTACCTGGGCTGGCCAGGGTATCCAGGAGTCAGTCAGTGGTCCCGAGCCAACTATTTGAGGTGGCACCTGCAAAAATTAGACTCAAGCCAACAGGACAGCTCCCAGGTTCGCTGCCATTCTTGTGTCTGGTCACGGGGCTCACCCAGTGAAGGGGTTGCTTCCCACTTTTGTACTACCAGGCCCCCCCCCCCCCCCCCCCCCCGAGCTCTTCGTGAGTTCTGACTTCTTTGGCCCCCGCCCCAGTTGTGGAGAAGTCGTTTTGAAGGCCTTCCATTGATATCACAGTGGAAAGGCAAGTCCCACTTGCCTGACTCGTCCGAAAGGCGGCCTCCCTTGAATGAAGGTTGGTCCGGATTTGGAGTGGACAAGGAAATTGGGGGGTTCCTCCGCAAGAGTCGAATGTTGTTTGCGGGGCACAATATATAATCACTGGCTCATGTTTCAACAAAGAAGATCGACGAGGTGTCGCTTTGGCTCAAAAGGTCCTAATCGCTCTGGCTGAGTTTCCTTCTGGTGGAATCCTTGTGGTTTGAGGGGCAGGCTACGTAGGAAGGGCAGGCAGTGCTTTCACACTGTCCCACAGAATTTCCAAACCTGTCTCGACTTGAGGCAATATCCAAGCCACGTTGTATATATCTCACCACGGCTTCGTCCGATTCCGCAGGTACCAGCTGGAGCCTTCGACGGTCTCCGACCTGGCCCTGGACCGGGCGGTGCTCCGTTTTCAAAAACGGAAGGTTCCAGGGTCCCCAACAACAGGACCGAAAGGCCGAAGTGGTTCAAGGGGTTGGAAAGAACGGGGTCCAAAGAGCGCTTGCAAAGGACAATGTTTGTAGCATCCTACCCATTTGTCAGACCAGCTCTGCGAGGTTTCTAGACCTTCGGGGTTCAAATGCCTGGTGCCTGGCGGGGTATGCGCAGAAAATCCATCGGAGACATTGCGGAGTTGTTTTTCAAAAACATCTTCTGTTATTCAGGGTGCAAACCACCCAACGCCGCTGGTTTTGGGAGAAAGCTAAGTGTCGGAATGTGTGTTTTTCCCCGCATCACAAGGGTTTGGCTTGCCACCTCTGGAACATGCGGACACCGTGTGAGTCAGGCAGGACGTCAAGTGCTGGGCAACTTTGAGTGTACTAGGTTTGTCAACAAGGTGCCCCTTGCAATGACTTTCATCGGAAGTTTCAATCATGACTTCGCCAGGGCTGCTTGCTTTTGGTTGCTTCTCCAAAAACATGGCTTTCAATGGTTGTCCCCACCCCCCGCTAATGTGAGCATTGGGATGCTGATTTGGGCAGTTCATGTTCAGTTTCGCCCGTTTTCGCCAAGCAAGCGAAGCGCCGTTCACCCGACTAAAAAGGACCGGAGTGCTGTTGACTTTCTTGGGATACGTACGATTCATCTACCTGCTGAGATGCACCTGTTTTCAACATTATCCAGTCAAATCGGCATGTAAAATGATTTTGCCACTAGAGGTTGCTATGTCCACTAATCCATGGCCCAGTTTTGGAGGATCTCGCTAAGTGTCAACCACGAAAACCGGGGAGCTCACGAAAAATCCCATGCCCGTGGAGTGCCTCAGTAATCTGACCGTTTCAGAAGAGCAGCTCACATCCTCGGTGCCTCCGAAAGGAACATCGTCTTAAAGGGCTTCCATGGTCCATGTGTGTGGGAGGGTTGCATTGCCTCTTTGCTTCCTTTTTTGTTTCAGAGGGGGGGAGACCCTAAACCTGTAACCCGTAAACCCCTAAACCCCTAAACCCCTAAACCCCAAACCCCCCAAAACCATCGGAAGCCCAAATCCCCACGGCAGTCCTCGAGTGAGACACCTTTTGCTCACAGGACAGCAAGACCTGGAGCTCCGCTGTGGCCGGGACCCTGTTGAGTTGAGAGAAGGCACACCAGTTGGGCCACTTCATTTTGTCAAAAGCCCGCACCCCCCAGTGAACATCCCAATCCCCACTAAAATAGGTTCTAAAATGGGTGGTGCACCACCATTGGTTTTGACCCACAGCCATTTCTGCATGGGAGGCAATGGTATGGAGACAGTATCCAAGTTGGGGCGGTTCAAATCCCCCCCGGTAAACCGCTCCGTGGCCCCTCAAACGCATCGAGTGATTTCTGCATGGAGCTCACCAAAGGAGCAATTAGCCAGGCAGGTCCAGTAACTTGGAGCAAACTCTTAGTTCACGTCTTGGCATTCTTGTGAAGTTTGCAGATTTGATTTGGGTGTTTGTTTTGTTGGGGGTTCCAAGTGGAAGCCAACCATGGTGGAAGTGTGTCCACCAATTTTGGGATAAGCCTTTGTGTGTTGTGTGTGGGTGTGTGTTTTGGAGGGTACCAGTTTGTGGGGTTGTTGTGAAGGGAAATCAAGCTCAAACAAGCCAGTCCCATGTGACTGTGAGTAAGGGCTGCTACTGCTCGGTCGGAATTCTAGCGAGGACCGTGTGAATGGACAGCAACACAATCACGCTGGTAGAAGCGGAAGGTTGATGGGTATTAGGTGCTGCTCATGTGTGGATGTGTAAACCATAGGGACTCCTCCAAATGGTTGGTTTCATGATGCCTTGACAGTCGCTGGTTTTGACAGCATGTGGCCAGATGTTTGATGGGTGGTCAGCCTTTGAACACGTCCGCCTTTTGAGCGCATTGATGGCACCCGGGCCTCTCACGACCTCCCACCAGCTTGGACCGCGCTTTGCTCTTTGCGTGCCTCATGGCTACCATCCGGGCGTTATAGACTCAAAACAAGAACCCAAAGGAGGTTGTGTGAAACAAGGGGTGTTACCCTCCCACCAAATGAACATGGAACCTGACGTTTGGGGTTCCCTTGAAAAGGAAAATTGTCTTCCAAGAGCACGCGAACGTCAGGTTCCATGTTAATTGGTGGGAGGGGGTAAACATATTTAAAGAGGGCTTGGCCCAACCCGATCTTTCCGTTTGCTTCGCCCGCTCCTCGTTTTTTCGCAGATCGGCAAGCTGTCAAGCTGGATCCAGCTGGACCGGGCTTTGACGCAGCTGCCTCAGGTAAGGCGTGTGGGGCAAATCCAAGGGAACACTCCGTGTAAGCTTGTGTGTGGGTTTGTCCCTACAAAGGGGAACCACCAAAGAGGGTGGTTTCGGTTTGTTTCCCTTCAAACCAACTCCAAAGAGGCTACCCCTCCCAAAGAAAGACACCCTCATGTTGTGTTTTGCAGTGTTTAGGCCCGTCGCCTCACCCACAGGGGCTCCATTTGGTTTGTGCTGGAAAGGCTCAGGCTTTCGGGAGAAACAAAAACAAGCGCACGAGCAGAGGTGACGCAGCTTGCAGGGTATGTCGTGTGTCAAGACTAGAGGCAAGGAAGTCAGCAACTTTGAGCATCAGCTCGGTCCAACCAGGTTGGAGAAACGGCCTCGAATTGAAGGCAGGGTTTGTCTGCAGGATTTTCTGAGAACGCAGCTTGCAGCACATGACGGTTGCAGCGACCTCTTGCCAATCGCCAGTTTTGCCGCTTGAGCGGCTAGCTGGGCGGGGAAAAGGTTCTGATCAGTGAGCCTCCCAACGCGGTGCCTCCATGTTCGTGATGCAGTGTTCCAAGATTAATCCAGCGGAAGCTCATGCACCTTGGAAGGTGCAACCTTCATTCAACTTTGTTGTCCCCTGCTTGATAAACATTCTCAATGCTGTCCCTGTTCTTGTCATTGCTCGTTACACGCAACACCGGCCCAAAGGCCGCAAGCGCTGTCTTTCTTTGAATGCCGAAGCAAAGGCCCGAGCTGAGGCCCAATCAGAGGAAGTTCTGCCTGGATGCTTTGGAGCAGGAGCAGTTTTCCCAACTTATCGGAAAGTTGCCAAGGCCCCCGAACAGTGAAGCATGCGCTTTTCTTTTTTCCTTGTGTGTGTGTGTGTCTGTGTGCGTGTGTGTGTCTGTGTGTCGTCGGCTGCTGCTTTTCGGCCGGGCACTGCTTGGAAAATGTAGCCATATACCGTGCTGGGCAGACGCCTTGACGTGTAGATGCCGAGTGCAGTTGGGATATGGGTGTGGCTCAAAATTAAACGGGAGGGGTTTTGCAGGTGTTGGTCCATGTTTCCACTTCACAGGGTTCCATTTTGGAATTCCGGTTTTTTGAGCCACAGCCATATGGCTTCTGTCCTGCCTTTCGAGCCATCTCTGTAACCATTCAAACACTACCCGGTTGGTTGAATGCGGGGAGCCATCCGTGCCGCTTAAAGACGTGGATGAGTCTAACATGGATGCAACAGATGTTGGTTTTCAGCTCCCCGGTAGGAGCTGTCCTGGGGCTCCCATTTAGGCGTCTATGGCCGGCATCTCAGTGAGGGCCGGTGGGAGGTGGGGTGGTCCGCGGATGGCGAGCAAGTACGGACTCTGAAGAATACTTGAGTTCCTGAGGGCGCCGGATGTTTCTTGCAGCCATGGTTGAGCTTTTGGCTTGGGACTTGGATTCCAGGATGCTGTGCGAGTTTGTTCGAGATTGTGTGAGTACCCAAGATGACTCAGCAGACCCCAAAGACAGCGGTGGACTGCCCGCATCAGCTGCCACCAAACGACGCTGGACGCTGGACCTATCTCAACTTGCGGGCACGGGAGCAAGGGCTTTGCCGTTTTTGCCCCTTCCAGGCCTCTCCTGAGTTCCTGAGCTTGAGTCACTTTCGGGAAGACCACTTGAAGTGGCCAAGAAGAACAGCAACAACAACCGCCATTGGGGGACTTTCTCGTTTTTTGGGCGCCATCCACTCCAAAACACGAGAGGCCCGTTTAAAAAAACATGCCCGGCCTTTTATGCGGTGGTCTGAAAATGTGAGGCATCATCCTGCCTTGCCCCACCGAGAGCTGCGAGCTCTACGCGGCGGCGCCGGGCACTCAGACGCATATCACCCAGACGCTCATGGACCCTTCTAGGGTCCCAGGGTCCCAGGGAGTAGTTGGAAGCGTTTGGCTACTTCTGTTCCCGTACTCTGAGAAGGGGTGTGATTCGCGCGCAGATAGTGTAGGTCGGTCTGCTGGTTGGCCCGTGTCAACACATTTTTTCTTGAGGGCTGTTGCCACGTACTCCGCGTATCAAAATGGTGGTATGGTTCCCGAGTGAAGTGGGGTGCAACAAGGCACACTTTGATTGCTACGTGATATGGCTGTGGCTCAAAAAGATGTAGCAAAATGGCGCCTGGGGAGATGGAATCAAAGACTAAAACCTCCATATTTTTGAAGTTTTGCCACCTTTTTTGCTCTGGGCTTTATGAAGCCAGCGGGTCAGGTTGAGTCGGATTGGCCTTACCAGCCGGGTGCCCAGACCGGGAAGAGTGGAGAGGCCAAGGCGGCATGTTTCGGATGAGGAATGACTCCTTGGTCCTTGGCGAGACGCATTTGCTCAGTGTGGCCAGTTGAAACGTGGACGCTAGTTATCGCCAGCTTCAAGTCTGGTCGAACAAAGCAGCTCCGGACAACCCATCAGAGGGTGCAGGTTTTGAACGACAAGCTGTACATGGTAGATGCAATGCCACTACCCAGCGATGTTGCGAGTAGCCAGTTTGAGAAAGCAAAGCAGCATCCGCGCGCTGATTGGAAGGGGACCACGGGATCTTTGGTGCATGTTGCTTAGGACTTTAACTTTTTGCCAGCTACTGGGTTTTCCGTATTAAACCACTAAAAGTCCAACTTTTTAGCGGAGCAGAAAGCAACCGAGGGATCACGGGCTGCTGGGTCCAATTCACACGAGGCATTTGCACGACTCAGCTCATGGTGCGCATCCCCTTGCTGCGCCAAGAGAATGGCACTGAGGCGGGTGGAATTTTGGTTTCCCTCCGTTTGCTTAAGTTTGCTTTTTTTTAGTTTTACAAGGAATTCGTCACTACTGGACATATTTTATTTTTTTCCCGGGGCCTTAGCCAAATGGAAGTTTCTGGCGAGGCGGAAGTGGCCCCTTCCCGCGCCGGAATTCGCGCGCCCTGCAAGATCGGCCCCAGTCTCCGGGGTCGAACAACCCGTGCTCCGCATCACGCCATACCAAGCAGGCCTTCAGTTGCCGACCCAAGTCTCCAGCCATGCTGTTTTCCTGAGCCGTGTTCAATAGGAAGTGAGAGTTGAAGCCCATACAGACGGCAAGACGAACTACTCGTGGCTCCTGCTGATCCTGGGGCCCCATAGGGACTGGCAAAGGGCTTAGACGTTTTGGCTTTGGGCGAGCAGGACGTGATTTATCTGAAGCCGTCTTCCCAAGCTGCCCTTCGTAGTAGACAGTGGACCTTGCTCCAGAAGCTCCTTAACACGGCCTACAACAGAAGCTTTGGACGCTGATCCAAAGCCATTTTGACCGCACAGCGCCTTTCCGATGTCCCGCAACCCCGCAAAGCTCCCGCAAATCCAAAGTCGCAATTTGGGAGGCAGGGCATCACGTGGGCGAGTTCTGCCTTGGCTGTACAATGCCAATGCAACCTGAAGTGTCGGAATTCATAGGTGTTTGTGCCCAAATTGTAGTAGACCACTGGAATTCGGGAATTCGTGAATTCGTGGGGGTCGCCGAAAACGCCAGACATTTCTAGGAGTTAGCTCCAGTTTCTGTTGCCTTGCGAAGCATATTCTGGGGCAAGACATCCGATAGCACGGCCAAACCGCTGCACTTGAGTAGGATCAGAACATCACGACATTATATCATGCATGCGGAACTTCGCCTGCAGTCGGTTGGAGGCCTCACTGCGGGATCAGAACATGCAAAAACGAAGCGTGCCAGGTGGACGGGTGGAATACCTGGAACAATCTGCGGCTGCTGTGCGATCAGAATCCTCGGCTGCAGGCGGGCTGAACCGGTGTGAGTCACGCCATCGCCACAGGTGGCCCTTTGTAGGTTAGTCTGGTTAGAAATAGATGGTAGTTCGATGGGCTTTGTTCCATTTATCGGGCCATCTAGTTTTCCAAAAGGCCACTTGTGGCAATCGCTAGACACCCAGTTGATGGATCCGCGACGGCTCCCTCAAAAGAAGGACTGGCCAGTAGGGCATGTCGAGGTTCAGAACCGGAGTTGCTTCCAAAATGTCCGGTTCGGGGCAAAATGCATATATATATATATATATTTGTTGCTCCAGCGGCTGTGCCTGTCCAGAGCCACACCTTGCAGCTCACAAGTCCAAAATGTTGATGTCGAAGAGAGAGAGAGGTGCAAAGCTGCTTCCAATGACGAGCAACTCGGGGATCGCATCATCCAAATGACGTCATGGGCCATTGCTCTGGCTGGTCTGGCAACCAGCAACGATTCCCTAAACCGGCCCAGGTTCCAAAGGCAATCGCGGCATTCTGGCTGTTTTTAATCTAGGGTAAACAAAGCTCGCCAGAATCGTTAGGTGCCCTTTTGGCGGTTGGTACAGAGGGAAACTAACATGAACTTTTAGGTATACTTGGGAGACGGAAGCCTGAGGAAACCCTCCCAGGGCTCCCCCTCCAAATGGAAGGGGGTGCCGATCCATATTCGGTATGTGTCAAAATGGGGGCAAATGATTTGGTTGAACATGGTGGTCTTCCTTTTGATTTCCCCTTCACCAACCTTGAAAAGGGGCCATTCTTCAGATCCCTTTTGTAGGAGATACAAACACGACATCGTTGCTATTTTGGCTGCCTATTCTGAGAACCACCCATGTCACCATGTGGAGACACGTGTTTCTCAAAATCGGAATCTGCGCTCTACAATGCCACCGTTTGGGAATTTGTTTTAAAGAATAAAGGACCCCCTGCAAAAGCACAAAAGACGTTGGGCTTGAAAGAATAGAGGACCCACTAGTTTGTAGTATTTCCGAGGGAGGTCCTAGAACACCGCTAGATATAGCAGGGTTGTGGGAGCAAAATGGGGAGTAGTCACTTGGCTGACTTTCTAGTGCATGACGCAGATCCCTTTCAGCCTGAACGTTCCCACACACACACACACACCTCACTCAGTTTCTGGCTTTCGAACTATTTGGGGAGTATCAGTTAACTAGTAACACACAGTCTGGTTTCCGAGAAGCAGAGGTACTTCCAAATGAGAACTTCTGGTACCCAATTGAGATGGTTTTTTCTCTTATTTGTACTTGATCTGCGCGGTTTTTTGGTGGTTTCCCCTTTACTTAACACTCATTTGGCCATGGGTCAAAATCCGTACCCCCAAAGAACATCCCAATCCCCACTAAAATAGGTTCTAAATTGGGTGAATTCACCAATCCACCAAACTGGGATCCCAAAACGGTTTTGACAACCGTAGCCGTTTAACTATTGCCCCAACCCACCTTTGGAGCGCGAAATCACCAGGTCTGTCTGGAGTTCACCGCCGACCTCCCCGAGTCGGACCCGGAGCTGAACCGGTGGCTCGCGGAGCCAGGCGAATATCCAGACTTGGGCTCCAGCTGACTTGGGCTACCCAACTTCTTTTTGGGGTTTGGGTTCCCCTACGGAAATAAACTACAGAAAAAAGAAAGGGTACCCTTATTCTAACATCTCGACTGCAGGACCTAGCCTTTTAGTGGTCCTTTAAACCACCCAAAAAGGGGGGCACCCCCGGGCAAGAAAAGAGGAGCCAGCCCTATGTGACATTTTCATGAGCGACTACCTTAGCAGTGGTTGGACATGAATGATGCCCAGGCCCCGAATTCAAGTTCATGCCCATGTCCCTTTACTAGGGTCTCCTCCTCCAACATTGTTGTATTTTGTAAGGTACCCTGTTTGAGCTCGGATTACAAAAGAAACCACAAGGAATCCACTCTTAGAGTCTTTTTGGGGTCCGACCCGCTATTTGGACGCCTTTTAGCATTACCTTTCTGGGGCAGTGGGGACGGGTACTGTGGACGGACGGAAGTCCACTTCGCAGTTGGGATATACCACTTAATAGCTGGTGCAGCATTTCCTTCCAGAGGGTGAAATCTAGGAAAGCTGTTGGGCCAAAGCATTGACAGCCTCCACATGCGATCGTGGCTGAAAGGGAAGCCAGCCTCAAGAGTAACATTTTGTGAACTCCGAGCTTGAGGGACCATTAGCATTGGGTCCAGTCGGACTTCAGCCGCCCGCTGGCTTGCTGGCAACAAGAGCTGTTCCAGTCTCTGTGAGTGTGTGCGTTTACCTGCGTGTACATGCGTGTGCGTGCGTGTGCGTGCCTGTGCTTGAGTGCGTGCGTTCGTGTATGCGTGCGCTGTCTGTGCGCGTGCACGTGCGCGTGCGTGCTTGCGTTCGTGCGTGTGTTCGTGTGCATGTGCGTGCGCTCTCTCTGTGTGTGTGTGTGTGGGCGCGCGTCCGTTGCGTGCGTGTGCGCGTGCGTTCGTGCTCACTTGCATGCGCTTGTGTGTCTGTGTGTGCGCGTGTGCGTTTGTGTCCGCGCCCGTTTCGGCTTGGTTGCTAAAGGGCGCCATGGGGAGAACCGTTTGGGGGTCTCCTTTTTGGAACACACATGTATGTTGACTTGTTGATGCTGGGTAAGAACACGTAGGACGCGCGTTCTTTGCAGTAACGGCGA